GACACGTAAGTACCTACTCGTAAATCTGCCCTGCGCAATCGAAAAAGCGGCTAAGTGACAAAATAATTTTTTGATATATCATAAAAAACCATAATCCAGTTTTTGAATATTGAAATTATTTAATGATGTTTCAGCTATGCATCGTTAGAGTAAAGTCCGATAAATCGAACACTTTAACTATATATAGTTTTGACTAGAGATATACTATAGTTTTGACTCTACAACAGAACTTCGACACGTTACTCCGACTATATGTTACGTCGACATGACTTTACTCAGACACTATGCTACTTCGACAACACAGACGAGATGTTTCTTAAAACATCTTTGTACTCCGATAAGAATGATCACCATTACAAACCCATGTACGAAAAGGTTTCTTATATCAATCAATACAACAAAAAAAATCGTATAATTCAAACTAATCGTCGCTTAACCGTTACTTTAAAGTGTAACACCCAAATTAACATGCCCATTTATTTTTTCGTTTGGAATTTATATTTTACAAGATAACAAAGTATTTACCGAGTTGTTACATTTTCGCGATTGTTACACATAGGAACTGAAACTATTTTTTTTAATGTAAATCGCGTGTATATATTTCTTGTTATTATCGAAAAAATCCGATCCAAAAAAGTAGTTTAATTTCTATTCCATATAATAAGGTAACAACGACCTATTACGAAAACAAGATAGTTTTTGAGTACTGCAGTATTGCAGATTGTTTAGTAATGAAGTAACTGAACTAGATTTACTCGAATATTTACCCGATTAGTAAGTCCACAAGGCTGAAAGCAAGCGACCGAAAAGAGGCTAGCGTTGTGTAATGTTGACATGAATTGCAACTATTTCATTGAGATAGCTTTGTTGTAGTAATCGGCCGAATATGGAACGCGACTGGCGGCGTGAGCGGTCGACGATCGCCACGACGACGGCCGGTCACTGACCTGCACACGCACGCCGCACGCCACGTCACACGATACTCTATGAACACACCCTATGGCTCAAATTTCATACACTATACCTTGCAAAGCCATATGGTGTCCTTTTAAATGTGTAACTATAGTATAATTTTTCCAGTACAAACACAAACTGATTTTAAACAAGAAAGTTTCAACATTCTAATCTTTTAAATTTCCACATACTAATCTATTTATAACCTGTGGATTGAGTTAAAAAGCGAACCAAGTAATAATAGCTGAAAGTCCAGATCTCTTTTCTGCCCTTAAAATACGAGTTCGCCTGTTTGTAATATTTTCTTTACATTCTATATTTACCAAGATAACATACTTTGTAAGTGATTAATACAAACCTTATGCCAGATGATATCAGGGACACCCGGTCGTCGACCCAACCTTTTTAGACCTTTGCACGTAAAGTACAAGCTTTTGTATTAACAAAATATGCCAATTATGACTGTTTCCTTCTCTGTATTTTCGTTATGTTGCTTGTTAAAGCACCAATAATACAATCTTTAGGTTTATAGTCAATTAATTTGAAATGTAAAATTCTTTGTCAAATTTCATAAGTTTCCACCTCACTTTTGAATTATTTAAATCCACTGTAATGCAGACAGTTGTTCTGAGTAACAATATCGATTTGCGGAATGGATATAGGTTGCAGCGCTCCACTATGTAGCACGTTGTGCATGAGGGCAGTCACCACATCACGGCCGGTCGTCGACCCGGTCGCGGCCTCGCTACACGCGGCTTCACGCTCCACTGTGAACGCATCCTAAAGATTATTTGACAATCTATCTATAGATTTCTTCACATGGATATTGATGATTATTATATTAGTCTTTAGGTGAAGCGCAAATTCAGTTAGATTAAAACAAAGACTTAAGGAATCCAAATTTAGTCTGAAGCTCAAGAGCTGAAAACAAATCAATCAACTCAACAACAAGTGTTTTTCCCATATCAGTTAACTAGTTAGTAAATATTGATACTGCTGTATTAATTGATAAGTGTGCTCGAGGGCATTGGCTCAGTGTAGCTCCAAGCCCATTTCAGACGCAAAACATTAAAGTCACGTTTGTTGAAACAAATACTCATCAGAAACCGCAGAGAAACAATAAAATCGTGAAACAGGACAATGTACGAGTCGAACATATTAGCAGTTCGTCACAGGTTTTATGGGCGCATGGAAGCCGTAAACCGTTCAAGAGATATTCATATCAAGAGCAGCATCGCCTTTAGGTGAACTCATTTAAGAATACATTTTGGCTAACGGCCGTTCGGCGAGAGGTTAATCGTCGTTCACCTGCGGTTAACTGTTGTGGCTTTGTTTGCCGCAGTTTGCTTGCTGGCCGTTTCCGCAGCGCGACCGTGAACGTGGTCGCTCACCCGTCGCACTCGCAGTAAAGTCGACAACATTATTGTGCGGGGGCGGTGCACTGTTCACATTACTTGAGACGTCCTCAACGGACATCCATCCTCGATTCGATCACACCATGTCATCGCAAACTGCGGGTGTTGCTGCTAAACCCAAATAATAAAAGGAATCGAACCAGTTACTCATGAGTCACTACGTGAGTCAAAGGACATTGGAAAATAAATTTTGCCTTTGGACTTCAACGTTGCCTACATATAACCTACTACATAAGTTGTACAATTAAAGAGACAAACGAAATTTTCAAACGAGATTAATCATATTTAAGAGAAACTTAATTGTACATATATGCCGACAGAAGCACACAAACAAGACATTACAATGTTCATTTGTTTTATTTGTCTATAAATATATTTTAGGTTATAAAAATGTGCTGGCAACAGGCTACGAACAACACGCCCGCCTCCCTGATTCCACGTGGTTTCTTTGAAACTCTAGTAAAACTAAATTTGGCTAATTCTTATTCCCAAGGCGTAATAAGCAATAATACCTACGTATAGTTAACAAAGTCAAACGTTATCTGGGGGTCTACTCTCGATCTCCGTCCGAAACAATTACTGTCAAATAAGTAATATTCGACAAAATTAAAAGACAAGTATCAAGTATGAAGCTTTATTCGTATCACGCGTCCTTTAATTTGGTCAAGTATTGCTTATTTGGCAGTAATTGTTTTGGACGGATGTCGGACGGAGATCGAGAGTAGACCCCCTGATTTCAGAACACTGGACATGTAAAAGTTGTTTAAAATTAATAACAAGACGAAAAATACCTAAAATTTATGTGTCGCTTGGTTAAAAGTCCGCCGTGGTACAGTTATAATAAAAATGTGTATAACGCTACAGAAGGAAACTTATATGGAACGTATGACGCAAATGTTGCCCAATATGGGAGAATGAGTCACAACGTGTGTCAGTCTATAACCACTAGGGCACAAAATAGACACATCCTTTGTATATTTTGTTTCATTGTATCGGGAGCACATCAGGAGCCAAAGTCCATTACGGAAGATTACCGAGGAGGGAGGCCGTGTGGTACGGCAAGTGGAATGGAACCCGCGACCTTGCGAGGGCGAGGTCACACTCCCCGCTCTCCCGTACACCCCCGGCAGCTTCTACCTGCGACTCCGCGCACGTCATTTCGAACCCTCGTGCTCTGTAGATACCTAACCATAACAATACCAGCTGCCAACGTTAATTTGCGACGCAAGGTCATGTTTGTTCCGACACATTATGAACAAAAAATGTTAATATTATTTCTACCTACATTATGTAAATCGTCCTTTAACAACACTGCTGTATACCAAATTAACTAGATTGTCATGAAATTATAGCAACAGGTTTCGGATGCGAAATTTATTCTCAATTGTCTATGTTAAGTTGTCACATAAAATTGGAGATCTATCACACGATTGTTTTACAGCTGTTTATATATGTTTTACGGCTATGTAATTGGTACCTTGCTTGACATTAGTCAAGTATATATCAATTGGTAATTCTTGCAAAACCCATTATATGAAGAACATTTCTCCCTTTCAACCCTGCTTTCCCCCGCATCTTTGCTTGCGTAGGTTACTACAATAGATAACTAGGCGAGTTCTACAATGCAAAGCCTAATTTACTTTATACGTTCTGTATGGCAAGTACGTGATTATTGTATTAGATTTTGTGTGCGGGTGGGTAGTGGACAAACGGGCAGCGCTAAACGCGGGCGGCGAGCACGATGTCGGCCGAGCGCGGCCTTGGCCGTGATCGCACGCTCGATATAGCCCGGCCGCCCCCGCCGCCTACCGCCCACCCGTCACCTACCTGCCACTGAAACCCCATCTCCACAAATCACCCCCATACCCCTGAAACTCTACCGTTCACCGGCTATTTTAAATTGAACTATGATGCAAGCGTATTATCAGGGTCATATTTTCCTATATACGTAGTTACGTTGGTACGGACTTATTTACAAACGTACATTATAAAGAATAAATCACCGACGTAAACTTGGTGCATATAATAAAGCCTTATATAATTTAGCGTATATACACAATCAGCAAGCAGACAGCGGCGTAAGGGCGAATCAAAATTAGGCACTAAGAGTACGGAGCAAAGTGATATCACTGTATAGCGTGTTTGTCCCTGAACTCCGACCGCCAAGCGTGAGTGACGCACATGGACGCAAATATCACCGACCCTGACCTTCGGTCTAAAGTAATCTTCGTAATGTCAAGTACCACGCCTACCCTCCACACGATACCACCATCAATGTCTATCAGCTATATACCTATATATTACTATCATAAAACGTGGCGTTCAATTACATAATGTTCAGGTATTAACTAGTCATAAAGTCATAACGATAACACAAAATTACTGAAATTATCGTTACAGAGGAATATGCCAACCCTACATGTACATGTATTAATCACTTATATTATTATAGTGTAATTTATATCTATAACTCATTAATTTGTGGAAACACTTGTTTTATTTATAAAGTTTACAATATCACAATTTTCGAGTATCTGTACGCAACAATTTCAAAGCAAATAAAAATACATACATACATTTTATAGATTTATTTTAAAAAATCTTTATTTACATACGCAATTTACCTTCAGAACTACTTTGTTTTCCCTCCTTTCTTTTTGAGTGGTTTATTCTTTTTGGGACCTTTTTGCGCTTTTTTGCTGCGACCTTTTGTTTTTTCTTTAGCCTTTTGTGCGCGGAGATCCTTTTTCATTCTCGGGTCGACTACCTTGTAACGTCCTTTAACTCCTGTGGGCCGCTTCATACGTTTCGCTGATGTGTGTTTTTTGGCCACTACATACGTAACTTTTTTCTTATCTCCTGCCTGCGCCTTTTTGTACAACTGCCTGACTTGTTGAGCCTTTTCTCTTTCCGACATGTCTGCGTTTTCCATGACGGCCTCAACCTTCTTCTTAGCTCGTTCCATTTTCTTTATCATGCGCTTCTTCTTTCTCGCTTTCGCTTCAACTACTTTCTTGATCGGTCGCGCATTTATATCTTGAAGTCTGCTATTGTAATCTTCTTTGTATTGCTGTAATAAAGTAACTTATTATTTGGCAATTATAATAGCTGTTAAATCGGTATACAAAGTTTTTGCTAGTATATATTGTGTGTAACTTTTTTAAATTCACTTTTATAATCATAAATCGTTGCATTTATCACCGCCCAACGTATTTTGTCCAATATACTTAAAAATTGCACATAGCAACAATGTGATATGATTTTCTTTGACATTTTTATTTCTTTCTATTGCGCGTAAGAGATTTTTGTATTATGTTACCTCAGGTATCAGTACAGGTTTCTTCATATGTTTCTTCTCATCTTCCGTGAACCAATCGGGCAGATTTTTGTCGTTGAACGCATATCGATTCCACGCGTCGTCGATCAGGTCACGTTTGAACTTCTTCGACGTGGCTATCATTGTACCGAGAGCTAGCGCTTCCGCATCCATTTTTAGTGTCTTTTTCAAACGTTTTAACTCTAAAATAATTTAAAAAGATGACTTAATATAAACATTTTGCATGTACAGCAATATATCAATATTCATAATTAAGCAAATACATTTTTTGGGTTCTGCCTAAAAAGTCAGCCTACTGTAGACATGTCATCTTAAGTAAACTTTAAGTATATTGACCTGGATCTTGTGGCACAACATCAAAGGCATCCTTTTTGCCTTTAGCGCCCGCCTTGGCGTCATTACTGATTGATTCTTCAACATCATAATCACTATCTGAGTCATCAGAGCTCTCAGAGTGAGATAGTTTGCGCTTTGCACCATGACGATTTGATTTTGTTATCATTTCTATGTCCTCTTTGACTTTCTTTCCTAAAACATCAATTTAAAAAGAATTTATATAAATACATACGACATCACAGTAAGCCACGCATTGATGGATCTTGTTCCATTGCACTGGAGACGATAATCGAACAAAAATGTATAGTTTGATATGCTGTCGACAGTACAAGAAGTTGTTTTTAAGTAGATGTTTAAAACAATTAAATAAAACAATGTCAGTGAAGGTACTGTGAACAGCACATCAAGTTATACACTTTTTTACGAATATTGCCTGTGCAATGGAACAATTTCCTGTTTTTTTTTTATGTTTTGCCATCTGTACAATTCCTCAAGAAACAATGGCTTTGAATGGTTAAAAACAATAGCAGACCAATAAAATATGCAATTTAAAGACTGTTAATTTTACAACCCTTACTCTTATTCTAATTTACCTTTCTCTTTAAAGATCGTAGCCATTTTGTCCAAATCGACTTTCTCGTCTTCATCTTCATCAAGATCCCTAAATGAATCTTTTTGAAACCAAAGCTCTGCTTTCATCTCTCTCTTTGTTAATGGATCAGTATTGTCCAAATCAGTTAGCAACGGGTTGTTTTTCGGGATTGTGGGTGCTTTCGTCGATTTACTATTAACCAAGGTATTTAGTTTTGTAAGTTTAGCCAATTTCTTGCGGGATTTCTTTTCGTCGTCAGAATCTGAGAATGCTGTAAACGTATTTGGGTTATTTACGTGTATTATAATTCAAAAACACAAAATAGGTGGTGTTGAGTTCTTGTGAAACAAACATGTTTAAGCAGCTCCATAATTTTAGTACATTTGACAAGTTTAAAGGCCCAACAAAATATAAAAATCATACCGGCGGGACGGCGCGGCGGCGGTGTACAGAAATTACATAAGGCTAGATTTTTAGCAAAATATGTGTAATTTACAATGGTGTACATCGATCTACTGGAAATACTGGAAATTACGAAATAAAAAAATATTCAAGTTTTATCTTCTCATATAAACTAACTGCCTCCGTGGCCGAACGGTTACCGGACTGCCATGCAGAGGTCCTGGGTTCGATTCCCAGGCTGGGAGAAACGTGTGTATGGACTACATTTATTTCTCACGTGAGTTTGGGTGTCATTTGTGGTTGTCTATGTGTGTGTCCATGACACCCGCGACACAAGTTTCCCTAGGGGTTTCCCTAGTGCGGGGCTATGTTGAATGTGTGCGCTATATAAAACTTGTATGAGTGCAAAATATTTGTGGGTTTTGTATTTATTGTTGATCACCCAGAGAATGATTTCGATCTTATTCTTACAACAACAGACCGCATAGAGTTTGCGCACGAGTGTGACGATTTCTATTTTGACAAAAATCTGACATCTAATATCAATCAATCAATCTGTCCTATAATAATAATGTTTAATATAAAATCTTTATTTGTGTTAAATGTAAACCCCATACATGTTTATTTTTTTTTATAAAATAAAATATGGTTTAAAACTGCATTATTTAAAACCAACATTAACTGTGTCAAATTATGGCGTCTGATCTTTATTGTGCCCAAATACAAATCATTATATACAACCATTTCATTCAAATATTCGATTGAATCAAAACTACAATTAAACAACATTCTTACCTAGTGTTTCCTTGTCTTGTTCACTTTCAGAATCCGACTCCATTTCTAATTCACTATCAGAGTCCTTATAATACAAGCCTGAAGAATCCAGTTTTGAAGATTCTACATCATACTTCATGTACTTGGGTTTAATTTTCAATTCATCATCAGATTCGTCACTCTCTTCAGCCACTATGTCTGGTTGCTGATCTATTATTTTTGTAAGTTGCTGAAAATAGGTATAATAATAATAGACCCATTTGCCTCATATATGATTAGGTGCCATTATATATTAACTTTTTTTATAGACATACTATTAAAGCACAATATACTATTTTGTCATAAACATTTTTGAGTCAGCTACATTAAAAATAATTTCTCATTTTTCAATACATAAAATTTTACACTGTAAAATAAATAGCAAACCTCAGCATTTTTAATATCAGATAATCTGAACAGGTCATGGCTCTCCTCTGTGGGTCCATCATCTCCTTTTAGTACCATCTTCAAGTTCATTTTTTCCGCCAACTTCTGTCTTTGCTTATTCAACTGTTTCCTCTTACGCTTTGATGCACGACGCTCTTCATCCTTAAATTATGAGTAAAATTAATAATGTAGCATCCTGAACTCTGAATCAACTTCTTCAACATTAGTTTTAGAATCCAATTCTCGTTTTCACCTGAAGCCCAGCAATTTGTTCATCAACTTCTGCGTTCTCATCAGCAGGGACATCTTCCTTGCAATCCCCTTCAGCTGCATTTGGCTCTACCTCAAGCTTCGGCTCCTGAAATTGTGTGATATACAAGAAATTTAAGTCTTAAAGGCACACAATTTGTTTTGGCACATATTTTATTATACAACACAAGTCTAGTTAGTAAGCCCATCATCCACAAAAATCTAAATAAATTAGATGTTGAGATGTTGTGTATCAGAATTGTGTTTGTGATTAGAAATAAAGACCCAAACCCACAAAGCAACAATAATTTTCAAGTAAAATGTGGAATGTAATAACTGTAAGGATCATTTTATTTATTTACAGTCATTGACTTATAATTATATGGACGTCGGGTCCGCGCTAAAAAGTGTCTGCACTTGTAAGCGCTAAAATCGTATACAGAGCGCCAAACTCCGCTTTAGTCTTCATTTGTTCGACTGACAGCGCGATACTACGATGACATTACAATTTAAATTTCGAATAGGTTGCCTTGGGACATTTTTTTTCGTGGTTTTTGTATTAGACCCGTCGTCCATTTATTTGTAAGTCAATGTTTACAGTTAAAAAAGTGTTTCATTTAAATGTGTCAGCAGCAAGACTTTGATGCTCGTAAAACATAAATTATAAATATAAATATCAAAATAACAGCAAACCTCACCAGTGATGCCTTGAATTCTTTCATCTGCTTCAGCCAGTGAAGCAATATCTTCAGGTCCTTCCTACCCAACACCTTGATGTCCTTGCAGCATTCTTTTATTTCCTGTGTTGTCTTGGCATGCTGCAGTATTGACTTGTCATCTAACATAATCTATAAATCAATATTAAGATTTGTAATAATATTCTTTTGACTAGGAGCACTATATTAATGTATGTACGAGTATGAACCTCTCTAAAATCAATAAAATGCTTATTCATAGTACTTTTTATTGTACTGGCTACAAACAGGTGTTAAATACTCTCCATGGAACTAAATTACCAATTTATTTACCCATAATCTATGAATTGAGGAGCTTTGGAATGAAAATCAATGAGTCTGATGAATTTTAATTCTAAATTTGTCTGGTCTCATTGAATGGATTTGTCACATTGTGTTCAGAGAGTGCATTTGAAATCTACTATGAAGGAGGAGGTAGTGGTTGCTATTAATGTGGATAAATTATTCATAGAAATATACAAAAACTACCATTTGGCATAAAAGAAGAACCAGTCAAAATGTGACTTATCACTTTTTGTTCTGACTCTCCTCAATTTACAAGTGTTGTAAATTAAAAGGTGTTGATATATCAACCACAGACATGGCTTGGAAGCTTTTTTGCACCAAGGCTCTCTTTTATTCACTTTTAACATTCTTCTTCAATCCTCATGCAACTGGCCATCATTAAACTAGAATTTCATAAAAATTACCTGAGAGCAACCCTGCAATAAATCAATGTGGTCCTCTTTCCCCATAAAGTCAGAAACTGGCACAGGATGAAAAGTAGTATAATCATTTTCTTTATACCCTTCAGCTTTAGCTTTCTTCTGCTTTTCCGGGTGCAATAAGTTTGTGTGTTGTTTTTTTACAATCTCTAAATCTTCAAACACATATTTAGGGTCAAAGAACTTTGGGTCTACAGTATCAGGAGCAATGTAGCCTTGGCAGACAACAAATATCTCTGAAGATTCATTACGAGACGCCTGAGGCTTGGTAGCATGAACTTTCTTAAAAAATTGTTTAAACACCCACAATAAAGCATGGTAGTCTTTGGATCTGAAAACTTTAGTGATAAACCAGCCACCTTCCCTCAAGAAGTTTGTGGCTAGTTTCATTGCACTCAATGTTAGGCATGTTTGTTGGTACGCATCATGAAGCCAATTCAAACCAACATTTGGGGCACCATCGTTTAGGACAACATCAGCTTTCCATGTTTTAATTTCTTTCTTAATGGCTGATTTACACTTCTCAGTGGTAATATCCTCCGTCAAACTGATACAGCCAGGCACGGGCTTGATAGGGAACAGATCGACACCTATCACCACACTTGACACTGGCATGTTCTGATGAGCCACTTGCATCCATCCTCCTGGCGCTGCGCACAAATCTATGCATACTCGAGATCTTTGCAAAAACCCAAACTTTCTATTCAACTGTATTAATTTAAATGCAGCTCTGGAACGATAACCTGAAAATAAATACAACCTTAGCTTTAACGTTCGAAGAATATATACGAAGGTATCTTAATTTTTAGGCACTTCATGTAAATCATTTGAATACTTTATAATATTTGTAAAGAGATAACAAAGTTTTTATTATTATTAATATAATGTTTTAATAAATTAGCTTATAGATAATACCTGTTTCTTTAGCGAGCTGATAATATTTATCTTTTCGCTGTTTTCCTACTTTCGTTTTCTTCCCCATTTTGCTATTACGCTATACTCATAATATTACAAATCACAATTAAAATAAGAGATAACAGCATGTGTTTACCACATTTCATTCACTGTTTTTGAGGTTATGACATTTTATGGCTATGGCTAATTTTTTTTTAATTTATTGAGCATTGGCCACGAGGTCTTCAGCTTAAAAATACAACAAAACAATACTTATTTTATGGCCGAATGTTATTATTTATTTGTTGAGCATTGGCCATAGAGCCATCAGCTCAAACAAGGAACAAACAATTATAAGACTCAAAACTTAATAATAATTAAACTAAAATATAATTTGCGAAAAAACTGTAACTACAAAACCCGCCATTTTTTTTCTGACCAAATGTCAAAAGTACATTTCTTTTCTGCTGTACATACAACGAATAGTGCGAAAATTGCGAAGATGGGATAAAATGATGAGATAATCCGGGTGTTAAATGGTCTAAAGAACTCCGGAGCATTGTCTTACTCAGTGAAATCCTTAGACTATTACTAAACAAAGAAAATGTACTGAAATTCACAAAACAACCGGTAGATGGCACTGCCCCGAACGACGACAATGATTATTGCTAGATGATGATTGGTCTAACGTTATCACACCATACCTTTGCACTAATCATAAACGAACACGATGAAACCTTATTGGCGAAACCAGTATTTATTTTGTTTCTGGCTGTCATCTTTAAGCTATGGTATGTATTCATAAAAGAAAAATCTGAAGGATTGACGTGTTCTACGCTGATTTTCTGCTCTTTTTCATCAGAAATCGCTACTTTCTTTTTGTGAAAGCGTTTCAATAAAGCGTCTTTATTTGTTCAAATTATTTGTGCTAAGTGCAGTCAAAAATATTGTTCAACATGGCTCCTGGTATTGAAACATTCATCAATGGCTTTCAAAACCGCTTGTGAGTATTACCTGGACGATCATATAGCTATTTATTTTACGTCGTAGTTTGTAATCGAATAAAGACGATTAAATAGGTAGTATAAACGTGTAGAAAAACGCAAGTGACTTCATATTGTTGTCTCATTGATTCGTTAATTACGAGGTCATTGCGTCTGTTTTCGACATTATTCTAGAACATTTCTGATTCACCTAAGATTATTTTCAACCTCGTAAACAATTGTCGTGACATCACATGATTTTACTCTACTACATTATTGCTTTATCTTCAAGATTAAAAATGATGTGATTTCTATTTCATTTAAGCTAGCGTCATACATTTGCATACAATGAAATTTAATTACTACCAGATTGTTGCGGATACCAACCCGTTACACCAAGTACCAAGTACTACCAGATTGTTCCTTTACATTCGTCCATAAACTGTATTAACGTAGTTACGAAAACCACACGTTCCTAAATAAATTTTCATCATAACAATATTTTAATTTTAGCTCAGTACAAAAATACAATCTGCAGAATTTGAATTATTCTTTGTCGACATCAATGGCAATTACCAAAAAAAGATAATGTCTCAAATAAACTTGTATGGCTTGTATATACCTACTTATTATTAGTCTTAAATGTTTGACATTCTGTTGTTGTAGGGAACTGCCAGTACGTCAACACCTGAAGAATGTGTACGGCACGCTCATGATGACGACCGCGTCGGCTTCGGCTGGCGTGTACGTCGATATCTTCACAAGCTTCCGGGCTGGCTTCCTCTCTGCCATCATCGGAGCTGGCCTCATGCTCATGTTACTTGCTACTCCTGACAATGGGAAGAATACAAGCCTGCGTCTAGGATACTTGTTGGGATTCGGCTTAACATCCGGTATGATCTAGTCTCTGATTATGTTGTGCAATCTTCAATGTTTTCTATAGTTTGTCTTATAAGTAAATGTGGAAGAATTTTGAAATATTGCAAATATTTAATATTCTTATGTATTAGGCTGTTTTATAAATCTCTTTGTTCATTAGATGCATTTCAACTGTTTTATAATCAACACAATTTGATAACAGGTTAATAATAGCCTTTTGTGATTAGTTTTGTTAGTTCTTGCTTATTCTGTACAAATACAAATCTCATTACTTGTACATTTATATTGTCGAGATGTATATTCTGTTGTAACTTCTAAACTATATATTATACATGTATATTTGTTAAGTGTTATCAGTACAGTAGACAGAAATATTTACTTCTTTTTAAGGGTCGTATTCCAGAACTGTACTCAATGCTCAAGTCAGGATTTGAGCAGACTTGAGTATGATTTCAAGCACAGGAAATATGACCCTAATGGCAAAGACTTAAGTATGATTTCTAGTGCCTTGAATCATAAACAAGTTATTTATATACAATATATTTATTATATAGTTCTACAATACGACCCCTTTGAACCATACTCAATTCCTGACTTGAGCATTGAGTAGGGTTCTAGAATGCGACCCTAAATGTAGGTAAATTAAAAATAGCATGTAAAATCAATGCAGTAATGTAATTGTTAATGTGTTAATTAGTTTGCATTTACCTCAAAAACTATCTTTACAAATTCTTGGAATAGATCAATAATGTGCAAAATGCTTATTATGATGTAATATTAACATTAACTGATGTAGCCCAAAGAATTACAAAGCATAAGTGGCAGTGGGCACACATTGGTCACAGAACAGAATGGTCATTGTAGCATTCTTTGAGGGAGGCCTATGCTCATCAGTGGACATCTTTCAGTTGAAATGATGATATCTAACATTTCGAGTTCTTAGGTTTTCGCGAGTGTTACATATAGGAAATGAAACTGTATTTTCAATCTAAATCGCGTATATTTGTTTTCTCAAACAGACCAATGTTTCGGGTCTTAGATGACTAATATTAACAAAAATTTTAGGAATGAGCATGGGTCCAATGCTTGAGTATGTCAGCATGGTGAATCCAGCAATCATAATGACAGCACTGCTGGGCACCACAGTGGTGTTTGTGTGCTTCTCCATCACCGCCATGCTGGCCGACCGTGGCTCTTACCTGTTCCTTGGAGGCACTCTGCTCACTATGCTCACCTCCTTGTCTCTTATGAGTCTAGTAAATCTCTTCATGCAGTCACAGATCCTTTATCAGGTATGTAAACTATTTTTTATTCTTATGAACAGGCATTAGCATATCATAATCTATACCAATTAGTAACCATTTTGTATAATGCATCATAATGTATATATTTGTTTTGCTTTACAATATATTTACAGTAACAATACTAACTGGCAAACACACCTGAATGATATAGGCACTTATACTTTTACATAAACATGACATTTTCAATGTATTGCATGTATGTGTCGAATATTAACATAAAATGAACCATAATAATTATGGTTCATTTTATGTTAATATTCGAAAACATAATGTGTAAATGTTTGTTTGCATTAGAATGCAACTCTACAACAATTGCTAATCCACAAATGGTATTGAGGGGATTTGGATGGATTGAGTGTATTCCTACTACTTTTTAGGTAAAGCTGAAGATTTTGATATGTTTGTGGTGTTAAGAGTTTTCCCAATTTGCAGACCCACCTGTACCTTGGCCTCCTACTAATGTGCGGGTTCATCCTATTCGACACCCAACTGATCATCGAGAAGCGCCGCATGGGCAACAAGGACTTCGTGCAACACGCACTGGAACTATTTATTGACTTCATTGGAGTTTTCAGGAGACTGGTCATCATTTTAACACAGAAGGTATACTTTAATTTACCACTTATTGTTTATTAGATGCCAGTGATAAAAATATCAAGGCTACTTTATTACTGATATTGTAAATTTTTCTATTTATATCTATTCAGCACTATACGTCGAGTCTCTAGGTATATTATTACAATGACTTGCAAGTGATACTGCAATCAAAACCCTTACCAACATACCACTTGCAGAAATTCAACTTAATTTCTCCTGACTTTTGCAGGCTGAAAAGAAAAACAATGATAAACGCAACTCTGATACGGAGTAAATGTAAGAAGGAGAGATTGTGATGAAGTCACTTTGTTGTGTTAGTTTTACTTTACGTCTATTATGTAGTGTATTTTTGCACACACTCAACTAGTGATGAAGAAACTCAAGTCTTTTAAGGCCTTTTAAAACACCTCGACTCATTTTTAACGCCTCACGACTAGTCTAGTATTTTAATCCTCAAGTCTTGAGTCATAAGACTAAAACTGAAGACTAATTCGAGTCGAAGTCTTTTGACCCTAGGAAGCTTAAAAGACTTATAGAACTAAAACGACTGGCGCCTTATAGCCTCGGAAGTCGCGAGTCATGAGCCGTATGGCGTGATTTTATTTCTACCCACAAGATATTTACTTTACGTTTAATGGGTAATGTTCATGTAGCTTTGTTCATAGAAGTCAGTTAATTATAACTAATTAAATAAACGTGATTATTTACTACATACTACGTCATTTTTATTTATAAACTTTGGGCTTAATATGACATAAAATAGGTATAAGTCCATTGCAAACAACTCAAGTCATTCAAGTTGTTTAAGTCATATAAGTGGTTTCAAGTCTTTTAGTATAATAACAGAGTCTTTTTAAATAAAAACCCGAACTTCCAGTCTTAATTTTAGAGTCGAGTCCTGAGTCTTTATAAAACGCCTTAAAAGACTGAGTCGCTTTCATCACTGCAATCAACCACTTCATAAGAAGCTTTGGTCAAATCAGCACGTTTGCGTCCATGAGCTTACACAGTCAAACTCAACAAACGATTGTCTAAAATATTTATATACCAAATTGTACGGCTTTAGTAGCATACACAAGAACTATAACTGAATGTTGTATAGTACAAGCGCAACTGTCGTTCATAATTGATATTGAGTAACTACTACACTAGAAACAATAAGAGTCACAACTTATTGTAAATACTGCTTGATCTAAGGACGCATTGGTTTGAAAGAGTGTGAATGCTATAAATGCAGCTGTTTAGTAAAATGCCACAATTTAATTATTTATTTGCAGACTTCGAATGCTATCCAATCCATAATACATATACAATTTGTATTTCTGCCCCAAAGTTATCTGCTTTTTTTTTATTTAATGTTTTAGATTGCTTTTTAAGTCTTAAGTGTACACTTAAGAGCAAGCAAATAAGCAAGCGTGTAGACATCTCCAGTGTATTAAAAATTTACGATTTATTATTTAAGTATTTAATAGAAATACAAACAGAAATTAAACTTTGCTTTTCTTTTTATTTTCAGGAGGAACAAAACCGTCGCCGCAAACGTGACTAAACATTTACAATCAAATTGAAAAAAATTATGTGTATTGGGATGTTGTGTACTTCAGGTGTTTTGTTTGTTTAATATTCATTTATGTGTTAAGAAATTTATAAGTTTCATAGTGTAATAAACTTCTAAATTGGAACTTGGTTTTTGTTTGTACGGCACTTGTGTCACAGTCAGCGGTAGAAACATTGTAACATCTATGAAAAAAATTATCTTATGTATAATATTTATATCACGTATCATGGAATGCGTATACGAAATCTAGAATTTTTTTTTCTGAAGTACTAAGTAAAGGCACCAGTATAATAAATATTGCAATGTTATATTGAGTTTTCACATTACATATATATAAATAATATCAATAAGGCGGTTTTCAAGTCACAATTTTAAGGCGTTAGATATGAAACATTGCTGTTAACTGATGTCAGTATCATGCTGAGGATGTATTTTATTCTTATCGTTAAACACTTTCTTTGCTTTGCTCAGCTCATTGGCAACAAGGACACTTATCATATGAGACACTTTAGAATCACTAAGATTATTTTGGTCTCCATTGGCATGAAATTCTCCATTCTCCTCCACATTTACCTTAGATTTATTCACCTTACATTCTCTTAAATCTCCTTTAACATTATCTGATTGATATGAATTATTCTTCTCTTTAGATTTGTGAATTACATACAATTTTCTCGAACAACATTGACAATTGCACTTTGGGGTAGATTTACTCGACGAACTATTCTTAACAATATACTCGTAAGTAGAAACACCTAACAACGAGATGTAAACATGAAAACAACATAAGTGCAATAAGGCACACGCTATCGCTAAGGCACACACACAGAATATAATCAAAAATGTGAAGAAAAGTATAGAATTCTTGCAATATTTAAAATTGTACGAAGTATCTGAATATAGGGAACAGTTAATAAAGTTCTGTGCAGGCGCACTTAGTTTCTGTGGGTACGATAAAAACAGCACAATGTCGGTTACACACAAAGATGAAGTAAATAGAGAAATAAGTAGTGCTGTCGTAACGCAAGTTATGAAGGATGCATAGTTCCTCTGACCCACGCAGTTGTTCAGCCACTTGCAATGATGATCGAAGTGGTCGATGCATTTATTGCAAAGACTGCAGTGCTTGGTGCTCCTGCTGCTCGTATATATATTACACAAGTGACATCTCCCGTTCTCTATGACGTGGGCGTGTACGCTGCGATCAAACTCCGGCACATTGTTCACTTTCAACTTCCTCAACTCCCTCTCGCTAGGGTCAGTCAGAGCCGCAGTTAAATGCGATGCGACATGACACAAATACAAAATCGCAAACGTAATTATTGATATCACTTTCAATTCCTTGAACTGGATCTCAATTAGTATAATGGAATTAACAAGGGCGGTAGCTATGAAAACAAACCAACCGATCACTTGCTGAAAGTTCAGAGGAAGCTCGAGGCCGTGTATTCTCCTTTGTGGTCGTGTTTTTTGAGTATATGCACAACAGCTGCCCATTTGTATGAATTATACAGTCCTTTGCTTTGAATAAAAAATATAAACTTAATTGAAAGCGCAAAAAGTTTGTTCGTTGTAGAAAGACGCTAAACGGTTGACTAGGTGATTGAAAATGGGCTGGGTAGTTACTGTCGTATGCGCGCGCAAGGGATGAAGTCATTTCCAACTTTGTACCCAATGATTTCCGAGATATAATTATTTTATTGTCACTTTTCTCTAAATTACTTGATTTTTTTAAATGAAAGTACTTCAGTACATTGCACAGTTCATTTTATGATGTAGTACTAGGATCAGCTCAATCTTGTTTCCATAGTAACTTATTGCACAACAATGAAATTGTTTATCATGGTTTCTTTTTGAAAACTAATCTTTTAATAATGTAGGTGTGAATAGACAAGAGGGATGATTCAATTGAAATTTATAGGTTTCGAAAGTTTATAACTATTATTCATAAATATTTACTTAAAAGTACACAATCCACAAAATATTTATTTACTGAAAGGTACAGTCAGCATCACAATGATTTGATCGCTCAGTGTCCTCAAACATCTGAACATTAATTTCTAAAAATTAACCTTATGTTAAGTATGCTTAAGACTCACTTTTCATTGAAACTTGGCAGAGTATCTAAGACTATATGTATTGTGCTGGGATACCCCAGCATGTATGGGGTGGCGTTGACCTACCAAGTATTATTAGTAGGTGAAATGAGGGGTGGAAATTATCGATTTTCGTTTTTTGTAATAGTAACGAAAGACCATGATCGTAATTAAAATGTCGCAAGGTAACGCTGTGCCTTCATGCTCGATGATAACTACGTTATTTAAAATAACATATCGCTGCTTTTCAAAAAAAGGGTCCTAAAGCAAAATTGTTCATTTTTTGTCTTAAATTACACAGATGTACTCGGAATGGGCTAATTTTTATTGTGAATAAGACAGGAGCTTTTTATTATTTAAAATAATTACGTGAGAATATGAGACTGTATACAATTCGTCTGCTTTGTATTTAGATTCCCGATGATTTTGTGATAGGACACCATTCTAGAAAGCCATCAATATGTTGAGGATATTCGCACTGCTATTACAATAGTGTTGTAATTAAAAATATGTGAACGTTAAGATTATACTATTGCTGAATGTAAAAATTTGAATCTCCACACGTTAATACAACCGTCATTAGAGTATTGTGAGAAACAATTAAAAGATATGTATGATGATGATCCAAATGAGATAAACTTTTTGTTCACTAGTTCTGAACAAAACAGTCCTTACTCAAAAATATAATTTTAACATATACCTCAATTTTATAAACTTTGACGGGATATGAGCAAGTCGTTATTCATAGATTCTGAAAAAATATACTTTTTGAGTTAATACGCTCTTGTATTTAACAGTGAGATTGAATTATTTTTTTACAACAAAGTTTACATTATCTGCGCTCCAAGATAGTTTTAAATTACACTTTAACTTCTACAGCCTAAACTACCTACTAATTTTTAACCGACTTCAAAAAAGGAGCAGGTTCTCAATTCGACTGTATTTTTTTTGGGTGTATGTTACGCGATTACACCGGCCGACCCACCGACCGATTTGTGAATCGATTTTAATGATTTTTTTTTGTTGGAAAGAGGGAACCTCATCATTGGTCCCATTTCAATTTTAAGAAAATATTCCACCTCTAAGGGTGGTAAACTAGGAGATGAACCGGTTTCACGCACTTTCCAGTAACCGATTAATAAAACTTGGCAAATAGATGTAATTCCACGATCTCTTGAGGTCGGGTTTTTTTATAAAAATGTTATCTCTGTTATTTTAATAAGTTTACTCACCAAATTTCACTGATATTTAAAAAATGTTTATGAAAATGGCACCTATCAAACTCCTTTTCTTATTGGAGCGGTCAACCAAGAGAAATCACAAATAAAACTAAATACTGTCGTAACCATTGACCAGTCTGTTGGTAGGATAATAATCATAACTCAAAAATTATGGAATTAAAAAAAACACGTCTTGAAAATAATAAAAAAAACTGAATTAATCTTATTGCGAATAAAGGGATTATTTTTATTTATTCATAAAAAATATTTATCCACTTATAAACGAGATAATAAATTTATTGGTTCCATTCAGTAATTTTTTTAACTTTCAAATCGTGTTTTTCTCAATTCCATCATTTTTTAATTACGCCAGTATTTGATTTCATGTGCGAAATGTCTCACGGCCCACAGTTTGATGCTTAGGTTATTTTGATTCTGACTGTACCTAACTTTTACATTATCAGTCACGTGTCATTTATCAGTTGTCTTGTTTATCGCGAATTTCTTTGCCATCTCTCGCCTTGTCTTGACGAGAATTCTGTGACCTTGGCAATCCAGATTTTCTTCATAACATTTATTTTTACAGCACTTTTTACAAAGTTTGTAGATGCACTTTCCTCCCTACAAAAAAAAAAGGATTTTCGTTACTTTTTATTATACCATAACTGCCTTCATTTTGATGCTTTCAAGAATGCGTCTTATTATATAATAAGTTCTTAATTAATCAAGAAGACAGTTTAAAAAACTTGAGGGATACATTGATGTGCAAAACTGACTATCTATACAGGCCCAACATCGTCATGTGATTTATTTTAACATTGTAGATAGCTCGAAGTCTCATTCTCGAAAAAAATTTGCATATTCAGACTATAACTGAGTGTTACATTTAAAAATGTACTATATTGACTTGGGTCCACTGTTCTTGAAAAGTAACGATTTGTAGGAAACAAAAAATTCACCATTGGATTAGCACAAATAACATCTGTACATATTTCACCAGTTCTTCCTATTGCCTGTTGCTGCAGTTCTACATCAGTTTTATGATTATTACGCCTCATGATCTTTTGCAGCTTTTTCATTTTCTTCCTTGAGATTGTATTACCACCTGAATCTTCATGAATTCTTTTATTTTCAATATTGTGCTCCTAAAATATGAAAATTGTTTCAACTACTTTACACATACAGATATATTTATTAATTAAATGAAAGTCAATTAGTTAGTTCGAATTACCTGATTCTTACATAAATTTTCCATTTTCTTTGTATGTTCTTCTGGTGACATCCTAACGTAAGGTTGGCAAATCCACGGAGGTAAAATCAAACTAAATTGTTCTCTAGTCAGGGTGTTGCATTCATATTGAATTTTACCTTCATGGTATGGTAGGTATTTTTCTTTAATTTTCATACATACTTGTCTGAAATCATGAAGATTCTGAGCTGTTGCTAAAATATGCCTTGCTTCATTATTTTCCTCAAAGGTAAATCTGTAAAAGAAAGTAAATCACACTACAACTCCAAAACATATGCAGTATTAAATAATATTCATATTCATCCCTTTAAAGTCAAGGACACAATTCCTTACAGATTACAAAATCTGTTTGTAATAAATGAAATTGTAAGCTTACATTTTATGGAATATCTTAAACAAATGACCCCTTATGTATGACGTGGGACAAGGGTACTTTTCAACTATATCCAAGTACTCTTCTGCTATTTCCCATGTTACAGCATTGATTCCTTCAAATAATGCAGGGTTGGTGAGTATGCCTTCTGCACTCATCACCCCATTTACTTTAGTAAAGGTTAAACATCTGTACACATCTTCTAAGCACTGGATGTTACCATTTGCAAACATTGGTAAAGATATTGCTTCTCTGAAATATAAAAAAATGTTTTATAAATTAAGATTAACCTGTCACACATCCTAGAGACAGACAGCTTCCCTAGCCATTTTGGTAAAAACAAATCTTCATTTTTTTTAATGCTGGATGAAAACACAACTGCGAGTTAGAGACACCATGTGGTACTAGAATGCTACAGTACCAAAATCAAATTCCAGCACATATAGGACTTAATCTAAAGGAGATTCTTAAAGTGATTGGTCCATTCATAGAATATATTAATGGCTAGAACAGTCAATTTTAAAAACTGAGTAATTTATTTATGACACAATTTGATAATACTTATCATATGCTTATTGTTAAATATTAAATTATAATATGGTATAATTGCAACATGAAATTATCCACACTTTGAAAAAAGCTCTTTCAACATACTTAACAGCCCTAATATGTTCCCAACTAGCTATTCCAGTAAGAGGACCTTTCTGCTCCCTCGTTCTGCCATGCACAGTCAATAACTTGCACCCAGCATTCTGCAGCATTAGGGCATATTGAACTGACTTTTCTATATCTTCAAATATTCTTATTTTACATGTTATTGGCACTGATACAGCCTTTGACATAGCTGAAACTGAAAAAATGATTACATTTTTTGCTTCATATATGTATTTGGCAGATGTGAGGAAGGTGTATGTTGAGCCAGAACAATGATATCAATATACTCAGTGATATCAAGTCGAAATCTTCAAAATGTACATGAAAGTGTTACTTATTCGATTTAATGAAATTTGCTTTAGAGTTTTAACCAAACAGATTTGTTTACTTTTTGTTCACAATGGATTGGAACAGACTATAGCAATTAACAAACACTATGCAAACTCGATATTTGTCAAGATTGCATTTTTGAAGCCAAATTATAGAATAGAATAGAACTATTTATTTCGGACCATGATCCATAGTAATGTTAGCTAATTTACTCAGCTAATTTAAATTAAACTAAAAATTAAGAAAAATAAATACAATAAATAGCAATAATATATTTTATAATCTATGATGAACAACTTCTAAAAAAATCATTACATCAATTTGAAAATTATAAAAATATTGCAAGTTTGTGAAAAGTCGCATGCATAGTGTTAGTTGCTGGTGTCGACAGGGTCACCACACTTATTGACACAGACTTAAAAGCATTTTCTGACCAGATAAAGCAGATTTTACATGAATAAATATAGTGACTCCCATTGTAAATAACTCCTGATGCCATGATGACAATTTGATAAGAATGCTATCTGTACTATTCATCATGTGAAATAGAATTTCAGTTATTGGGTTTTGGCTTATAGTGAACAGTTACCAATGTTTTTTAAAAGCTCCCAATCATCCTGAAGAAAAGAGCCGTATCTTCCCCGTTTCGCTATTGATTGTGGACAACCAAGATTGATATCAATTGCATCGCAATACGGCTCTGCCAGTTTCGCTGCTGCCGCCAAAACCTCTGGGTTGTTGCCACAGAACTAGAACAAGATCTATCAATTTATAACAGTTACAAAGGATATTTTAAAAATAATCTGTGACTAATACCTGCACGATTAAAGGGCGGTCTTCTTCACAAGTAATTAAATTATCTTTTCTGTACTTATGATCTTTAGTAAAGACATTACTGTGAAACATAGGAGTGTAACAGAGTTGTGCTCCATGTCTTCTGCATAAAAGCCTCCAGGCAAGTTCACTGGCGTCAACCATAGGCGCCACCACATATCTAGGACTACCTAACGAGCGGAACCAATCGTAGGTCATAATAGTTCCTTATAAATTTAAAAAAATAGTAAATAAAATACACGTGCAAAACTGAGAGCATGAATCAAAGCAGTTCAAACATTGAATTTTTTTGTAAGTCAATGAGTTCAAAGCACAATATACGATTCTAAAATCTAATTTTGCTATGACTGCTTAGAAAGAAAGTGATGCACCTATTCAGCAAGCATGGTATTACTACTCTTTTTGTTTTGCATAGTTTACTGCTACTTTATCAGAAAACGCATCGTGAATGTAGTTTCTGAACGAAAACAAATACGCTCTTTGGACTTGCAAAAAGATAGTGTTGGGTCATAGAAAAATTTCCAATTTGAAAAAATCATATTTCTGAGAAAAAAAAATATATTTCTGAATATTTTTCCCATCAAAAATACGAAACGAAATACACAAACGAAATAGGGTCGTATTCCAGAACTGTACTCAATGCTCAAGTCAGGATTTGAGCAGACTTGAGTATGATTTCAAGCACTGGAAATACTACTCTAGTGGCAAGGACTTGAGTATGATTTTGAGTGCTCACTGCAATACTTAAGTTCTATGACAACTAGAACCTGTTTGTTTGTTATGTTTGAAATCTGTCAATAAACGAAATACTAAGTACTTTACAAATCTATTTATTTGTGTTTATCTAGGTTCATTAAACAAACTTAAGCTTTCCACATCTTCTATCAACCACCAACTCCACCAGGTTATGGGCCCAGACCCGCAAGGCAATGAGTGAAATGGAGCTTACCAAAATTCAATTAACGAAACTAGACGGCCACAATTGGGTATTATGGAAGTACCGAATGACAGCCTTGCTAAGAGGTATGGACAGGCTCATGGATATTGTGGTTGGTAAAACACGACCTCCAGATGGAAGCGGTGATGCAGCAAAATATTTGTACAATAAGACACTTCGAGATTTTGTGAAGTTAGAGAGCACAGCCTTACTCTTGGTAACGAACAACGTAACAGATGAGACGCTTGGTAAAGTGATCAGATTGTCTACACCAATAGAAGTTTCATAGATTATATGAGGGACCTAATGAGGGCCGACTCTACGATCTATGTTTAGAATCTTTAAATTTAAGAGGGAACCGTCAAATGACACATCGACTCATATATCGAAATTAAAGAATCTGTGGCATAGTCTGAAGGAAGAGTTACTGAAAGAAGAAAAGGTGGAACTACCCGAAGTACTTCTTAAGTTAGTAATCTGTAAAATCCTGGACACGCTGCCGGATACTATTTTTTCATTTAAGTCGCGCTGGCTGTTAATGTCAAAGAATGATAGAACAGTAGACAATATTACGGGCCAATTGTGTGCACACGAAAAAGCGCTCAACGCTAATGTTGTTGATGTTGCGTCAAATGAAACTGCGCTTTATGGGAAGGTTAATAAAAAGGTTGCTAAGCGTAATGACCAAAAAGACCAAGGGACAAAGAAGAAGTATAAATGTTTTATTTGTAAGGAACTTGGTCATCTGAAAATGGATTGCCCAAAAGGTGGCAACAAGGAGAAGGTAAACAAACCATGGTAGTTCTAATATGATGTTACTAACGGTGAATGCAACAGATTTTGGCACTGATTGTGATGATTGGTATTTATTTATATATTTATTTATAGACAAAATGTGTAACATAACAGTTTGCACCATGGCGTTACGACAATTTAGTTAATAAATAACATTTTAAAAAGAAGAAAAAACAAATACACAAAACAACAAGAAATAGAACAATAAAATAAACTTAAAATTATCTATTTACTAATTCATTCATACATCTCTCCAAAACTCTCTTCCATTCCGTCATCAGTCTCTCTATCCCAGTCACAAACACATCACACTGCGGCGATGCTGCGAGCATGGAGTTGAGGAGTGCAGTCGTACGTGGAATAGGCGAGTGTCGGTGCAGTTCAGTGCGAGAGGGCTCGATTGCCAGGAGGGGCACACCACGTCGCCTGTTGCAGTAATCGTCAGGGACCCTGAATCTAAGGATCTTTTCCACTAGGCTCACACTGTCAATATTATTTCTTAATACATTTATAATGAATCTAAGTGATGCGACATTCCTACGCAATTCCAAGGACTCAGGTATGTGGACAATGGTGCTACACATCATGTCACTATGCGCGGAGATCTAGTCCAAGATTTTGAATACTTTGGTGAAACTCACACAATAACTACGGCAGACGGAAACATGATAAAGGCTGTTGGGAAAGGCACAGTTCATGTTGAAGTCAATGTTAGAGATAAGATTGAAAATCTTTTCTTAAGAGATGTTTGGTATGTTCCCCAGATTAGCAAAAACCTTTTCTCAGTGCTTAGTTCACAGGATAGAAATCCCACAAGCCTATTTGAGTCAAGGGAAACAAAATGTTCAATGAAGGTTAATGATGGTATTATTTTAACAGGGAAAAGGCAAAGGTATGGTGGTCTGTATAAGATAGATTGCAAAGCCCTGCTGTTTCAATCAATTTAATTGAGCATGGAGATAAACTTCAATTATACCATAAAAGGTTAGGACATCAAAATAAACAGCATGTCAAAAGATTGATAGAGAGAGTACTAGGAATAAAGACGTCAGATAATGGAGAACTATGCGAAGGGTGTGTTTTTGGAAAAGCACATAGACAACCGTTTGGTGTTCGCGAAAAAGCTACCAAGTCTGGTGAACGTATACACTCTAACGTTTGTGGTCCCTTCCCTGCAAGTATTTCTGAATATCGATACTTCGTATTATTCAAAGATGAGTTTAAACGATACAGATATGTGTATTTCTTGAAAAATAAAGCCGATGTATATAAAAAGCTGAAACAAATGCTGTCTGAGGCTAAAAATGCTGCACACGGTGTCAAGGAGCTTTTAAGTGATAATGGGAGAGAATACAATAACAAGAGAGTACGAGATCTACTTGAACAAATTGGAATAAAGCAAAGGCTTATTACGCCTTACACGCCAGAACAGAATGGGTGTAGCGAAAGGGAACACCGTACTATAGTCGAATTTGCTAGAGCAATTATGCACGCGCATGAAGAGTTACCTCAGAATTTGTGGGCTGAGATGGTAAATACTGCTGTTTATATTCTGAACAGGACAAGACCAACTACAGTGGAACACAAATCGCCTTATAAACTTTGGCTTAATAAGAAGCCTCAGATAAAGCACTTGGGGATAATTGGTTCACTTTGATTTGTGCATGTACCAAAGCAGAGGAGAAAGAAAATGCAAAATGCGTTTTAATTGGCTACAACGATGATGATGGATATAGACTTTGGAACCCAAAAAAACGGTCTAGAGACGTTATATTCGCTGAAAAAGCTTTAAGAACTTCAATGAATGAACCCATAAATAATGAAAATGAAGTTGAGGTGTATTAGCTGTAGAAGTTTTTCTACAGCTAATAAAATAAAAGTTCAAAATGGCATCAATGAACAAAATTTGGAAGCCGATGAGAAATATGATGCTCAAAACATTTTGCCAGAAAAGTCTATTGAATCGGGGGGAATGATATTGTTAACGAAGATGATACCATTGATGAAGATAACGATGACAAAGGTGACATCATTGATGAAGATAATTGATATCACAACTGCCTTCTTATATGGGTCTCTAGATTAAGAAATTTTTGTGAAACAACCGGAAGGCTATGACGACGGCTCGGGCGGGTCGAGTTCGTCTTTTGCAGAAGAGTCTTTATGGGTTAAAGCAAGCACCACGATGCTGGAACCGTTGTATTACAGACTTCTTCAATGAAATTGGTTTTAAGATAAATGAAGCAGATCCATATCTTTTGATAAAAAAAACAGCGTTCGGAAAAGTGATTATGGCTTTGTACGTGGATGAGTTAATTAACGAACTCAATGGTCGGTTCAAGATAACCACAAAGCCTGTCTCTTATTTCTTAGGAATAGAGATAGAGAGCAGAGAAGACGGAATCAAAATATTCCAAACTTCTTATGTACAGAAGATCTTGAGGAAATTTGGGATGGATACTTGTAAACCGGTCTCGACGCCGATTGTAAAAGACAGTACGTCAAGCAAGAAAGTGGATATGAGTTATATGAAAAATAATTACAGAGCAATCGTTGTACCCTTGGCATACTTAATGGTATGCACTAGACCTGACATTGCATATGCTGTTAGTGTAGTATCACTGAGTCTGGAAAAACCAGAAGAAGCAGACTGTGTTGTGTGCGACTGAAGCACATAATGCGGTATTTGCAGTACACACCAGATCTAGGTATCAAGTATAAGAAAAATTACAAACAAGGCATTTTGGAATGTTACAGCGATGCTGTTCATGCGGGAGATTTCAGCACTGGAAGATCCACAAGCGTGGTGCTGCGCATGTATGCGGGAGGAGCCATCTCGTACTTGTGTCAAAGACAGACAAGTCTCTCAATTTCCACTACAGAGGCTGAAACTGTAGTGGCTAGCGAAGCTCTCTCTTGAAAAACTCTATGGCTGTCTCGACTAATATAGGATCTTGTTAATCTTAAGAAGATTCCGTGTTTAAAAGTTGATAACGAAGCTGCTATAAGGCTAGCAGAAAATCCTGAATTTCACCGTGGTACTAAACATATCCGGGTGCGACATTTTTTTGTTAGAGAGCTAGTGAATAGTGGTGATCTAATCGTCGACAAGATGACTAGTGACGACCAGCTAGCTGATATTTTCACGAAACCACTTGCCAGAACCGGACTAGGAGGATTTCAGAACAAATAGGTCTCTGTTGAAAGGAGATGTTAAAAAAAAAAAGGGGGTTACTATACAACTAGAACCTGTCTGTTTGTTATGTTTGAAGTCTGTCAATAAAAGAAAAACTAAGTACTTTACAAATCTATATAATTGTGTTTATCTAGGTTAATTAAACAAGCTTAAGCTTTCCACATCTTCTATCCACCACCAAATCCAACTTAGAATACGACCATTAGACTGTGATTTTTTTTGCATCCTCTTTCCAAAACTCTACTCAATGCTTAAGTCAGGACAATAAGTATGATTTCAAGCACTGGAAATACGACCCTAATGGTAAGGACTTGAGAATGATTTCTAGTCATAAGTCAATGTTTCTAGTGCTTTAAATCATCCACAAGTCCGGACTTGAGCATAAAGTAGAGTTCTGGAACATTTTTTTATTTATTTATTAAGGCTTTGGCAAAGCCATCAGTCTAAACATGAAGTTCAATTTCTGTAAATATGGCCGCCACAAAGTGGATAGGCAATTTGAGGCGACGTCATTGACTTACAAATAAATGGACGACGGGTCTAATACAAAAACCACGAAAAAAATGTCCCAAGTCAACCTATTCGAAATTTAAATTGTAATGTCATCGCAGTATCGCGCTGTCAGTCGAACAAATGAAGACTAAAGCGGAGTTTGGCGCTCTGTATACGATTTTAGCGCCTTACAAGTGCGGACACTTTTTAGCGCGGACCCGACGCGACGTCCATATAATTGTAAGTCAATGGGCGACGTGCTTGGATTGACTCGGGATTCCTTAAAACGGGCCGATACGGGTATTTTAGTTCGAGACTCGTATAATTTCGCGTTTTAATCTTCGATTAAGGCACGTTGGCACTATCCTATTCCACTTTAACCTAGATTTCACAAAATAATTGAAAGTCAAAATAAAAACGACACTTTTCCCTCCAAAAGGTCCAGAGCGAATCCGTTCTGTAATAAGACCTTTTTTATTTTTTCCATCCTCTAAGTGTACCGTACACACGCCAGAACATCAAGCTACACATTGACGTGTCTTGTTCCGTGGCGCTGGAGACGATTTTCGAACAAAATGTGTAGTCTGATATGCCGTTGTCTACATGGTACTATACAAATGTGGCGCTTTGAAGGGGGCATTCACTATCCTGCCGTCGCTAGTCGTCCGTGCAATGCAGGATTATGAATGTAGTCACAGCATGCAAACCATCTTGCAATGCGTCCTGTAAGACGTCATACACGTATGACATCTTACAGGACGCATTGGCCCACGGGCCAAATGCAGGATAGTGTGTGAGCAATCTCCTACCTACGTGACGGACTGACATGCAGGTAGTGAATGGGCCGTTTTACTTCAACTGACATTGCATTCATATTCGCAAAAAAAAGTTCTAACGGAGTTTTGGGTTTGTTTTGTTTTGTAATGTGATTCCTTATTTATAACATTTTCTAATTGTAACGATCTTCTGTATCATTTAGAAGGCTATGTCCGGTACAATTCTATTATTGTACTACAAAATAATATTTTAAATCCAAGTTCAAAATTGTATAACCTATGAAAACAGTAACGGAATTACTTCGACGAAATACATCATCAAACGCCATGGCCGACGACATAATGGTAATTTTCACATTTTACCAAGGCACTCCATGTACAAAATCATCTCAATAAGGCAATACATTCAAAATCTTTTGTTAAATCGACTAGATATGGTCGCTATAAAATAATACCATACCATAACGTAACGCATTAAAGAGTAAAATCTGTAATGTATAACAAACATGTAATACTGTATATATATGTGTATATTGTGTGTGTAGTTCACCGAGTGTCAAAAATACATCATGTACATGACAGTCACTCAGTGGCCCAACGGTTTGCACTATGTGCGCTTAACGAGGAGGTCCCGGGTTCGATTCCCTGTAAGACCAATTTGGGAAACAACCTTTTTTAAGTTGATTCTGGTCTGGGTGAGTTCTGTTGCTGTGGTACTCATAGTACTGGGAATTCACTAGTTCGAGACCATGTGGTCTCGAGAGAATTCACTCTGGTTGATGTCTGGCATATTGTTATTAATAATGTATATATAATATGTTTTCAGACTCGGTTCTACACATGTCTAAACTTCCGTTTAGAAGAGAAACTAGCTGAGCTTACAAGAATAATAGATCATTCAACACCAACCAAAGAACTTCAAGTATTATTTCCTCAACTCATCAACAATATCTTCGCATCGAGCAATGGATGGAACCTGAAAACAGTGACTTGCGACAATACTCGTACCAATAGATATGAGTTTGAGGCACTGATTAGCTTTTTAGAGCCTCAGGGACCCATGTTCAGATTGTGTTATAAGTTACTGTCTGATCCACAGTACAAATACAATCTGTCTTTGAATGTTTTGCCTGTAAGTCCAACTAAAAGTAAACCTATTACAGTCGGTCTTTTTTGAGGACGGAGTAAAATGACATTTGCAGGGTTGCCACTTCTCATAAAATTTTAAATAGTTGTGTAGTTATTGTCAATAGTTTTATCAATAGATTGTGAAAGAATTTTAAATTTTGCCAAATATGACTGAATTGTGAATATTACTACATTGTAATGATTACATTATATCCTTCATTTGATTGCAATGATTGCATTATAGCCTTCTTTATTCTTATTTTGACAGTTGGCCTAGTGGTATCAATTTTTATTCATATTCATTTTAATAAGAATAGCTGGATTTCATTGTCTCTTTGTATTTGTCATAAAGATAGTTTTAAATACAGGGTATGTGTGTATGTATGAACTTACAAAAATTGTCAATGCAAATAAAGTTGTGCTCAGTAATTGGGTGTATAATGGGACGAAGATGATTCAAATGAGACAAGTTCAGCTATTTATTCCATAAGCATAAGTGATGTGCAGTTGATTGTCGATAAAATCTTTATTGACTGCAATCAGTAGCTGCTTGCAAGCGGACAACAATGAAAAATTTTGTGCAATGAACTTTGATTTTACTCCATCTTAAAAAAAGACAGACTATAATCAGTTTGTCCATCTGTTTGTAAGTTAAGTTAATGATTAAAGCCTAGTGGGACAGGCCTAATGTCAGCATAAGGCTGTTAGACAGCTGGTATGTTCTGCTCTGTTCATGCATTCTTGTATATTTGATGGTGTTCCTATTCTCCTACAAAGACCAATATGAACATAAAGATATAGTAATAATAACTATAATATAATATGATAATAGAGATACTCTTATGTTAGTAAAGAGATTGCTTGGTGTTCGTATTAAACTACTTTATGATTGTAGCGGATTCTATCAATGGGTTAGACTAGGTGCTAACGATGACTGAACAAGACCAAAGCAAATGTACTTATAGTTTATTGATTTACTACGAAACACATCGGCTATCAATAAAAAAAGGAAAACAACAGTAAAGAAAAGGCGCCGAAAACAATCACATTTAAATTTAGAATTTAAATATAAAACTAAAACTTACAGAGACTATAGAATATATACAAAAGAGATTTGTGGCGACTGCTGCGATTCGCTAATTATTTTTTGCTAACAATTAATTTTTGAAATGGAAGCTGTCTATCTCATGTTCTGATTTTAAAATTATTCAGCTCAACAGGCGAAAATAATAAATTTAAATTACTATTTTCTGCAATTAGTGTATACATTCATTTTTAGTTAGTTATATCAACAAGATAAGATTGGTGTTTGACATATTACATAAAATATAACCAAGCAACACCACAGGTACTAATCAGAAAAAATGCAATCAAAATGTTGACTTTGGACAATTGCAGGTATAACTTTAGAATATAGACAAGTGCATCAAAATTAGTAAAAATAAATGAAGTTAACCAGAATTAAATGCACTCTGGCTTATATTATGGTACCTTCAAATGCCTTGTTTTATATATACAAGCTTTTATTTAGCATTTAATTGTTATCTTAAATCTCCATTGTGTAAAAACAGCTGTGATCTAATTAAAATATTAATTAAAATAAATAGCCAAAGTCCAAGTTATTACAAAAATATCTGGATGATCTGTGATTTTTTGAGTTGCCCCTAAATACTTTAATATACATATAATAGACACATACCTTTCTATATTGCTTAATGCTTTTTTATTGAAGGATCAACTTCTTTTTCAATTTTATTTTATTTCAAATTTATTTTATAAATGTTTTATTTTTTCAGTTAGATCTCAGGATGAGTTTAGAAAGAGGCAGGTGTCCTCAATTTTACTCAGACTTGCTGGTAATGGACTCGCAGACTATGAATGTGGTTGCTTTGGCACTGAGTATCCTTTTTATTGTACTTTTTAGTATGCAAATTGTATACCTAATTGGGAGAAGATAATACAAAAATCTGAAACAAGATGGTAATAATTTTTTTAGATTATATTTTTATGAAATACACCTTCTGTAGAAGATATAAAATCCCAATAGTGTTATAAAACTGATCATTTGAGTTATTGACATTTGCTGCATATATAACAATACATAAAATGCAATTTTACTTCCATTCAACCTTCTATAATATTATACAAGTTTCCTAATTTATAATTATTTTAGCATGAATTTAAGTTTTCTATATTTTGGTTACTTTTGAAAAAGGTCTAAATGTTTTTTGAAAAATAATAACTTCTTAACTCGTACATGCAGACCCTTTCGACTACTATATTTTCAACTTCGCTCTCCACCTGGTGAACAACGCACAGCAACAAAGCACCTGGGAGCATTGGAACAGTGCATACTTTGCTTTGGCCTGTGATTACCTCATGCACTTCCTACCTTCAGATCCTAATGTCTCAGTACTACCTCATATTCCTAATTACAGTGGAAAGGTTGCTATGGCCGCTCCATTGCAAACTGCCAACAGGTAAAGAAACAACATTACACATTAAGAGTAAACTAAATCAGAAAATACCCAACAATTGTAATCCAAGCGGATTAGATTATAAAACATTTATTGATTATACAAGTATTATTATTTATTGATTACATTATTAATGAGTAGACCAATTGTAATATTTAAAAAAGACAAAGTTTAAATTTGCTTACAAATTTAATAAAATAAATAAAACAAACATTCTAATGATTAGGGAGTCATTACAACTATCAACACGAATTCGCATTAAACTGGTCAGGAAAAACTTTATGTCCATCTAATAAGAGTAAAAAAGACGTGTGTTCTGCATCGGCGTAAGATCTCGATACAGATTTACGAGGAATGTGTGTTCTGCATCGGCGTAAGATCTCGACACAGATTTACAAGGAATTTGCGTCCTGCGAATTCCGATGGCATCCGAATCGCGGATTCCGATATGGCAGCGTCGATGATTGGACGAATCCGAAGGTGTGAAAACCGTATTTCGTAAGAAATTATGGTTGAACGGCCGACAAGTGTCAGAAAACGTGATCACCTAAAATTAATTTAGCATCGATAAGCCAGTTCCGCGTGTGGTGACTACCTTTCGTGATTGACGACTTCGGCGGTCCAGCAGCTAGCAATCTGGGTGCTAAGCTTCTTAGCTTCCTCTTGGACCGGGGATCAATTCCCAATAGAACTAATTTTGGTTGTCTCGGATAGTCCCTACGTTATTAATTTCTATGACTTCTTTTTGACTACTGATAAGAAGTGATAACACTATGTAATCGCATTAACGCGTTTCACATGAACGGTCCTTTACGGTTTCCAGACCTTTGTGCTCGCCATCGCTGCTTCTAATACCAGACCTGTGTGGTATGGGCAATCAGCATTCGTCGCCGCAGAGCCAGTCGCGTAACGAGGTCTGGCGTTCAGAGACCGTGCTACAGGTCTTCGTTGATATATGGATGAGTGTTGAACAGTTCAACGCTAGGGATGTCGAAGTAAGCATTTGATTCTTGAGAAGACCACCACCATTTTTTGTACTTTCTGCAAAAGATATCCAACTACAATATAATTGAAAACTAATGGAAAACATTGAGGATTTAAATTTAGAAAAAATAGAACCAAGCATTATAATAATTCCATTGTGTTAATGTTTGTATGATTTAATTAAAACCAATTTCAAAGTAATTATGTAAATTCATAGGTTACTAATTACCTATGAATTTACATAATTTTGAAGTAAAAAAAAGAAAGATGTATGCAGCGTGAAACGCTGTATCTATCACAGTAATAATTTTTATGTTTTTAAATAATGATAAAATGAAATTAATAATACAATATTTCAGGTATTCCAGAGAAGCTATCAAAGCATGTGTTCTACACCAGAAAGAGTGCGAACAGTAAGAGTCCTAGTAAAACACATCCATTCGTTCTCAGCCAAACACCAGGCCGATACTGCTAGTCGCTCGTCCGCACTGCGCAAGTACGCACGACAAATTATGTGCGCCCGCGCGTATCACTACGTTAGGCATCTAGTCACTACGTGGCCTTTGGATGCTTCTTTCAGACTTGTGTTGGAACTATGGCTGAGTCTTATACAACCTTGGAGATATACTAACAACACTATTAATCAAGACAGGTAACATTTAATGCTATCAGACATTTTTATTCAATTTGTTTTAAATCATCACAAAAGATCCCCGTAAGGTGTCTCTGTGTTGCGTTGACCCCTTACGCCATTTCAACATTTGGTTATGATTAGAGTTGCAACGAATATTAGGTTACTATTCGGTATTCGAATTATTCGGCTTTTTTTGCTATTCGGCCGAATAGCGAATATTAAATTACTGTTTAGCAATTCCGAACATACGTACATTAGTAGCAGTAGAGCTTCTTGTAAATGATTTCGTCTAGAAAAGTTCTGCCACTTTACATATTTCTGCCGCCAAGCAGTAATGTGAAGATTACGGCGTTCCGGTTTTGAAGGATAGGGGTTCTGGTGAATTACAGGCAATTATTAATTATAGGCACATGAGACTTGTCAACTTATGTCTCCGCTCGACAGGCGGTGTGGCAATATTCCTCAGATTTTGCGATTTAAAGCTCTGAGTGGTACTGGAAATGCTAAGGACAGGCGTGTCGCTTAACACCAAGTGCAAGATTTATTTATCCCGTCACCTTGGTATCATAAAAAAGAACACAGAAGTTTGCGAAAGCGCAATTTTTCGATTCTGGCGATCAAAGGAAGTTAAGATATTTTTCGAAGAGATCAAAAAAAGGTCAATTATCATTTTAAAACTACCCAGTTATTAAGTAACGCTAACAAAATCAATTAAGTATTTATTATTTGCAAACTAAATAAGTTTTGACAGGTAATCTGACTGAAGTGGAATAAACAATTACTTTCTTCATTAAGCCATAAATTTCAATTATGAATGTGCAAATAGAAGTACATATTTTGTTTATAACTGAAGTTAATAGTGCGCTAATCAGACCGAATAGTTCATCTGAACATTCGGCTATTCGGTTACGCTTCTGGCCGAATATACTATTCGTTGCAACACTAGTTGTTTTGGGGGTTGACGTTGCTCGCTTCCGTAGGTTTACCCTCGAGACCCTACAAGTGACCCCTGAGTGGTGCTAAAGAGCAACAACTACTGGTGGTAGGCTTCGGCCGTGGCTAGTCACCACCCTCCCGATGCAGTCGAGTCGCCAAATGGTTCTTACCGTGTTCCGACTCGCGTTCGGGAGTTGCCATTAGGAGATCGGGTCTGAACAGTTGCATTGCGTCTGACGAGTTGTAGCTGCTTGTACTGCCACACCGAGGTTGAACACGACGTAGTGCCTCGTTCAACTGCCTTCCTCCTGCCTATTCACTTCTCAAAACAACATGACAAATCATAAGAAAGGAAAAAACTTTACACAGCGGTTGCATGTCCTCCCACTAAAAGTGCACCTCACTAACATCCGAGGTCTGCACTCAAATCTCGATTCGGTCCACTACCACCTTGAAACCGACAAACCGCAGTTGCTGTTCCTCACAGAGCCGCAGATCAGATGTCCCACTGACGCAGCGCACCTCAGCTACCCCGGGTATACTCTGGAGCACAGGTTCGTACCTCGTGCCGGAGTCTGTGTGTACGTTCGCGATGACATCTGTGTCAAACGTCTCACGAACCTTGAGGCACGAAGTTTTTCTGTTTTATGGCTTCTGGTTGACACAGGAGTTACACAAATAGTGTACTGCTGTATCTACAGCTCACATAGTGGAGATCAGGAGACGACCAAGCTGTTCCAATGTCTGAGCGAGACGTCTGATGAGGCTCAACTCAGGTACCCAGCGGCGCAACTGTCATTCGAGGGGACTATTAAAGTCCCCCAGAATCTCTCTCTCAAGAATGGTTGTTACCATACCAGATGACCGATCACGTTGGGAGAGAGACGCGTAAACTTACGTTAACGCTAAGCCTTTCTCAGCTCGTCAGTGGCGCCACCAGGATCCCGGATGTTGAGTCTCATACGGCTAATTGCATGGACCTTCTGTTAACAACTGATCCAGACCGCTACTATGTGATTGTGGAGGTCCTACTGGGTACTTCCGACCATTGTCTGGTGAAAACTGTATCCGTTTACTCCCCACCCGATCAGGGCCCTAGTGGTATGAGACGGGTGTGGCGACACAAATTAGCAGATTGGGACGACATGCGCCATTTTGCGTCATACCCCTGACAGGCGTGCTTTACTTCAGGAGACTCGTCGAGCTGTGCTGATGCTGTAGTCGAGGTTTTGCATTTGGGTATGGAGTATTACATACCATACTCTGATGTACCCAATGGATCCCAAGCTTGTCCATGGTTTAACGCTGATTGTAGTTGTGCTGAAGCACGTAAACAGTCCGCGTACCAAGCTTGGGCAGATGCTCGACTACGCAAAGCTCAAAATTTGAAGAAAGCTTTTAATAAGGCCGCCAAGAAGTGCAAAAGTGTGTTACGCAGCGCCAAGTTCGACCATGTGCGTCGCATAGGGGCCAAGCTTGCCTCTTATCTAACAGGCAGCAAATCCTTTTGGTCCCTGGCCAAAGCGGTCTAATCTAACTTTTGTCGCCCATCTCTGCCACCTATGCTGAGGCCGGATGGCTCGCTGGCTCATACTGCGGAAGAGAAGGCGTATCTTTTTGCCTCACTCTTTGCAGAGAGTTCGCGTCTGGATGCCGCAGGGAACCTACCACCTATTTAACCTCAGACTGGCTGCACTATGGCGCCAGTTCGCATACGCAAAAAAGAGGTACTTAGAACTCTGCGAAATCTAGACGTGAATAAAACTAGCGGGCCAGATGGAATTCCAGCGATAGTCCTGCGTAACTGTGCGCCTGAGTTGTTTCCTGTTCTCACACGCCTGTACCGCCTCTCACTTGAGACTGGTGTAGTTCCCAGGTCGTGAAAGCTTGCAAACGTGCAACCTGTGCCAAAAAAGGGAAGCAGAGCTGACTCTGTCAATTATAGACCTATCACAGTCACTTCCATAGTCTTGCAGAATATGGAACGCGTACTCAACAACCGTCTCCTTTCATACCTTGAAGACAACGACCTCCTCAGTGATCGCCAGTTCGGATTCCGACGAGGGCGATCTACTGGGGATCTTCTTGTGTATGCCTGTCACATATGGAGCGAGGCTATATAAAAGCAAGGTGAAGCACTTGCAGTGTCTTTGGACATTTCTAAAGCCTTTGACAGGGTCTGGCACGCAAGCCTTTTAAGTAAGCTTCCCTCTTATGTGCTTCCCACTGACCTTTGCAATTGGTTCTCGGATTTCTTGAGTGAACGTTCGATTCGAGTAGTCTTAGAAGGCTGCACTTCCGAACATATGGCGATAGATTTCTCCGGAGTTCCTCAGGGTTCCGTACTGTCTGCAACTCTCTTTCTGCTGCATATCAATGATATGTTAATTCCAGGTACCTTTGCGTATGCTGATGAGAGCACAGTTGTAGATAGGTACTTCATCAATGCAAGGGTCAGTGGAGAGGAAATCAAGTCTTGTCGAGAGTCCATGGTTGGCCGTTTGGATTTGGAATTGACAAACGTGCCAAGAGGTTTATTGGTGACTAGGAATTAGTGGAGGCGAAGCTGCAAAGCCTTGAACACCGCCGTAAAGTTGCCTGCTTGTGCGATGGAATTACACGATTTATTCCGCCTTCCCCTTTCCATCACCGGGGGACTAGGCGTAGGCTTGGGACCCCTATGTTGTGGATATTCCAAAGATTCGCACAACGCGTTACGCTTCCACGTCACTTTCCATCAGGTGAGATAGAGGTCAAATGTGCACTGATATTTTATAAAAAAAAGGTTGTGATATCTTTTAAAGGGCGTCATAGCACCCCATATGACGTCAGGCATTCCATTTCAGTGCACCTTTGTTGAATGTATCTTCCTTTTAGGCATTTGCAATTTACCGTGGCGAAACAATGGTTAAAAATCCCTGAATTCCAAAAACTTCACATCTGTTGCATTTTTGTTTCCGATTTGTAGATTTCCTGGCTACCACCATAACCAAGAGGAAAGCAACGTCGGCGCACTAGACGCAAGTTATACTCAGTTCATTGCCGAGAACTTCCCATCTTACACCTGCATCTTTCAATTGGTGCTACCAAGGTTCATGAGAATGGAATTGACTGCTTACAAAAACGCCGTTATGTTGTTTCGGTTAGGAAAGGTCTGTATAGAATGGTTAAGTTCTTATGTTGCCTCTCAACTATATCGTTTCCTCTCCTTATTAACCTGTCGTAGTTAGCATTAGACAATATTTTAAAAGTTTTTTCTGTAGTTTTCACATATTCAAAACAATACCGTCACTGAACGAAATTTTTCAATTTCAATTTTAAAAAACCAAAACTTAACTTGTCTTTTTAAATATGAAATTGTGAAATGAACAATGTAATAATTTTATGTCTCAGGAAATTCTCCTTTCGTGATAACGTGGACGAACTGTCCTACCTCAATTAACTAAACATTCAATATAATATACAACAGTGAAAATATTCCCTTTTATTTACAGGTGTTTTCACAACAGCATCTAGTGCCGATCTTATCGAATTTGGAGCAAGCCATCAAGGACAATAACTTTGGATTGCATCACAGTCCAGAGACTAGTTTTAACAGCTCTATGCATGAACAAAGGTTAATATGGAACTGCAGTACGGTTTCTCTTTACTTGCTTTATACTAAAACACTATTTATAAGCGTTATTTGTAAAACACTAACAGCCTCGCAAGACTGTATTGCTAACATCATAAACAACAAGTTTTGTTACATGATTTTTTAAGGGTGCGTACAGATGTGGCGAATGCGCTGCGTGTGCGTTCTATGATAATAATAACGCACACACTCAACATAGCCCCGCACAAGGGAAACCCTGTGTCGCGAGTGCCATGGACACACACGTAGACAACTCACACCCAAAACTCACGAGATAAATAAATGTAGGCCATACAAATATTTCTGCCGGCCCGGGAATCGAACCTGGGACCTCTGCGTGGCAGTTCGGCATGATAACTGTTCGGCCACGTTAATTGCCCGCGCTGTACACAGATCTGTATTTGGAAGTAATTTCAAATGTGCAAGCATCCCTTTCGACGACCCCCAACACCGCTCCTGCGTTTTGCATCGGACTGGTATTTTCTTTCACCGCACATATTTATCACCGTTTAGAGCAGCCTTTCCCAAAGTGGGCGATAACGCCCCCTTGTGGGCGTTGCAGGCCTTAAGGGGGGTGGTAAGAGACCTAGAAAAAAAAATGGGGGCGTTGTGTAGAGGCTTAGGGGGAGATTTATAATTCTAAAACTGTACTCAATGCTCAAGTCAGGACTTGAGTATAATTCCAAGCACTAGAAATCATACTCAAGTCCTTGCCATTAGAGTCGTATTTCCAGTGCTTGAAATCATACTCAAGTCTGCTCAAATCCTGACTTGAGCATTGAGTACAGTTCTGGAATACGACCCTAGGACACCGACTGAGCTCTCGACTCTCGACTACAACTTGTGAACATCAACTGATATTAATTAAGAGATTGCTCAAACTAACTCGATTTGATATTTCTCTCCATGTAGTTCATATACCTGTCCTGTTTTATTGAATAAATAAAATAAAAATCATGTCATGAAATGAAAATAGACACAAACAAACAAATAAAAAGGCAACAGACAGTTTCGCATTTTAATAGTTATTAGTATTCCTACATAGAAAATTTTCGTAGATAATAGACCGCGGGCAATCATGTTTTAATAAGTTTTTGTTAAATAACCCGATTTGTGCATTTTTGTATCAATCGGCTGGTTCACAGAATACTTGTTCTTACTTGTTGAGTGCCATTGAGCGTCGAATGAGATAAACGAGCGAACGAGAGATTTATGCATGTTTGTCTTATTCCTGTCGGTGCGTGCTGCTTATGCAATCCTACATAAACAACGTATTGTTTATTTTATTTTCATTTGCGGTTTCGCGCGTAATAGATAGCAGTACTTAAGTTCAACACTTACGTATTTCTTAAAATAAAACAATGTCGGAAGTAAAAAAGAAGACACGGCAATACTGTGCGGAATAGGTATATTAAATTCGGATTCATTGAAAATCCCACACATTCATCGTCGTCTTTGTATGTCTAAAAACATTTTCGAATGAAGTCTTCAAGACTGCAAGATCGTTGGAATAAAATGCATCCACCTCACCTCCACATTGACTTCACCGAACGAAACCAGGACATTTTGAACAAGGAAATACCATACTGGGTGTTGGGTCCTTTTCAAATGTCAACACAGCATTATCACCTCAGCTGGAAGAAGAACTTATAGAATTGACAACGAACGAGGGAATAAAAGTAAGTTTAAAAATGGCTACCAAGAATTTTGGCTACAAAAACCGATCCCGCAATTGTACCCTGGATTATGGTCAATCGTTCAACGATTCTAGATAGCATTCCCATCGTCATATTAGTGTGAACGTGGTTTTATTGCTGTGACAACGCTGCTTACTAAAAAGAGAAATCGTTTACGTGTTACCGAACGTGGTCACTTTTATATTAGTATCGATTATGTTTGTTTTATTTTAAATAAAAGATACTCTGTCTGAATACTATAAAGTTGCGTTTCAATAATCATTCTCATTGGCAGGTGTAGCCCGTAAGAGTTAACTTGAGACCTGAGCGCCGTTGTGTACTACCTACTGCGCTCAGGTCTCAAGTTAACTCTTGCGGGTTATAGTAAGTCTCGTATAGAATGAATGTTTAATCTCCGCTAATATAGCTCACAATAATCAATTTAATTTGAAGTTATAGTGGTTTTTAAGTGGGAGAAAAAATGGAGGCGCTAAAAATAATTTATTCTCAAACTGCCTCTGTGGCCGAACGGTTACCATGCCGGACTGCCACGCAGAGGTCCCAGGTTCGATTCCCGGGCCGGGAGAAATGTTTGTATGACCTACATTTATTTCTCTCGTGAGTTTGGGTGTAATTTGTGGTTGTCTATATGTGTGTCCATGGCACCCGCGACACAGGGTTTCCCTAGTGCGGTGCTATGTTGAGTGTGTGCGTTATTATTTATTTATTAAAGTGGGCAGTAGACAAAATAAGTTTGAGAACCCCTGGTTTAGAGCGATCAATTCAAATATTTTTATTGTTGTAGGATAGTATATAGTTGTTTTATGATGTTAATAATTATAGTCCTGCGAAATTGTTAGTATTTTACAAATAACCCTAAAACTACAAAAATAATAACTTGTTATCTAACGATTGTGATAACAATCAGCAACTTGCCAAGCTAGTCTTGTTTTCGGGTGCGAAAGGAGTTTTTAATAAAATAAAACTACAGTTAAGCTTAACTAGACAACCGGAAGAGTTGAATGTGTGGTCTCATCACCACACCACCAACACATATGCACCACAGGATGTTTGCACTCTTAAGTTGTAGCGTAAGCTGCCTACAAATACATTGAGATGTATGTACCAGGGTCGTTATGCCTAACTCTGTATTCTTACTTCTATGGTGCGGGGACGATCCGGGTGCATAACTAGCTACGAATTTTTAGAGATTTGTTTTTCTTCTGATTGCATAATGATCCTTGACACCACGCAAACGGAAATTGAGCCAATTCTCGCTCCAACAAATTCTTGTATACCAATAAATGGGTGTCTAATTGCCTTTATTATTTTTTTCCAGCTACACTTACAACGGCGTCCCTTTACATAAATGGGTCGCCATTGCCAAACAAGCAATAACAGAACTGAATATGTCTTCAACATTTGAATATGAACCGATATGGGGCGAAAACAAGAATTACTACGGAATTGAGTTTCTCAAGAAAATACTCGAAGCTAAAACATCTGCGGAAAATATTGTTGAAGAGTATAGCAAGAAATTGAGTCCGAAACAAAAGGGTAGCTTATGAAATGCTTCATTATTGTAAACAGACAAGTTTTTGTTTGATGTTTGATAGATATATATATTTTTGTTAAGTGAAGGGGTATATTTACAGACCACTTGGTCAGATTGACTAGCGGTGCCAATTCATTCATCTTATTTAAATTCGGGCGATCGGAGGGTTAAAGGTGGGTTCACATGTGTGACATTTCAACGCTCCGAGGCTCTGTGACATGTCACGAGCACTTGCTGTGTAAATGTGGACGGACTATGACACCGTAAAATTTCAGAGACCGTAACATTTCAACGCATCGAGAGGTGATGTTTCACGGTACAAACTTATGATAAAAAGATCCGCCTGTATACGGGTCGGGTCGTGACATCACAGTGTGATAGTGCAAAATCACTGTCCGCATTTGCTACAAATGGTACCGTTATTTCGACCATATTTCGACTGGTGGTCGCACTCGTGGTAACAAACCACCATTAAATGTTGCACTCCGTATAGAAGACTATTGATTGACATTATTGATGAGATAACAGAAAAATGGTTCTGTTTTTATTCGATATGATCTTTTAGAGGTTTGAAATAATGTTATCAATTTTATGAAATAATTGTCTTGTTGGTTGTCAAGGCGTTTTTATAAATGCAATGATATTGCATTAGTAACGATTTCTTACTTTTGCTTTTAGGTACATGGGCTAGCATAAAATACTGGTTCATGATCGGAGATACATATGAGGAGGAATTATTACTGGAAGAGTACAAGAAAGTGCCTACTTATCTCAACGCTTCTATACGTTATTTTTCGTCTATATTTGGGGTAAGAAGTAAAAAAAAAATAGTTTTAAGAAGTAAAAAATATTTTAGTATAATAGGGTAATCGCGTATCACACAAAAACGTAATAGAATTGAGAACCTCCTCTTTTTATGAAGTCGTTTAAAAAATCTGGCAGCTAATTATATTATGTAGATCTTTATTTCCATTTTATCTATTTTGTATGCAAGCAAAGCACCGTTTTTTGTAATTCAGCTATATAATTTCTGTGTTTTCCAATTCCTTTCAATCTGATAACTCATAGTGATTGGAAGAAATTCAAAGGTGCCGATATGATGCCGGTGAATTTCAGGAAATGTAGTGCTACCTGTAGGAAAATTGATTTGGTGCAATCATTTTGATAGGTATATCGACGTCCATTTGATAGGTATATCAACAAACGGACGTCGGGCTTAATAATAAAACCACGAAAAAAATGTCCGAATTTAACGTATACAAACGTAGTGACATGTAACGAGATATAAAAAAAACTAAAACATTTAATTTAAATTGTAACTTCATTGCAGTGCTGCCTAATTTTGCTTGCAACAATTTAAGGGGCGAAAAACACCATACTCAGCTTGTACTGGAAACTAAACAAAATGCACCATATTTTGCTTTGACTGATTACTTGAACACAAGAGTAATGGAGCATTTATTATAAATATTAATTAATTTTTATATGTATTATATGTTGAATTATGTACAAGTTCACTTAAAGAAATAATAAAGAGTTGGGCAGATACATACATACAAACATTGCAAAAGTGAAAATAGGCGTGTACTGACTGATATTAGAAATGTTCGAACTAAACATAAACTCAAATATCCGTAATTCCGAGAACCGATTTATAATAAAATCGTTACGCTTTCAAGCAATTTTGATGCTTTTCACAAAGTCAAAATTAGCTTTTGTTTTGTAATATTCCTAAAAAAATATAAACATTTGACATTATGTAAATTCTAGTTAACGTTATTTCGGGCAAATATATTTTCTGACTTCTGATAAGTAATCCCAGGCCGTAAAACGAGTACAACAATATTTTGTTAGTTATTGCTAACGATTAATAAAAAAGAATTTTAAACATAAGATTAAAATCAAAGCGACTCTATAGTTTCTTCGTTCTAAATATTTCAATCGCTTGTGGTTCGAACAACAATTGAAAATGACCAAAAAGTTTATATAAGCTTCTTGAAATTGATGTATGATATGATAATGGGTCTCTTTCCATCTTTTGCGCATGCAATGTGTAGAAAAAGGACAGTTAAATGTTTGATTATTTTGTTAGCTTTTGTAATTTATATTTAGGATTCATTTATATATAAATTAAATACTATACAAAATAACACTTTTAAATGATAACTATGATAACGCAATACATTTGTTTAGTGAAAATATGATACAAAATCCTGTTTTTACACTTTACTGCAGTAATTTTTACAAATTATTATTATATAGTACTGCATGATTGACAACCGCGCTGTCAATCGGACAAACGAAGACTGTTGCGCGATTGACGCTCTGTATGCGATTTTAACGCCCCATAGGTGCGACACTTTTTAGCACGAACCTGACGTCCATTTATTGGTAGGTCAATGGGTGCAATAATAAATTTATACATACACATAGCTCTCAAAGTTGACCCCTTTTAATTATTGCTGCCCAAATTTATGGCCACAAGATGAATAAATTAAAAATATTTTTAATATTTTTACATATTTTACTTCCTGAAACTAATAAACGCATTCTTTTATTTACAGCTGAATGAAATTACATTGATTCCTCCAGATTCTGTAGTTGGAGAAAGTTTATTGGAGAACTCCTCATTTGCCAATTCAACCAATTTCGCATCTTCGATTACTCAAAAGGTAACACCTGACAAGCATATACGTCCTAAGCAAATTTAATAGTAGGTACATTGTGTTATAAGGGCCTTTAGCAGGCCTTTAGGGACAGAGTAACATTCAAATTCCGAGCCAAATGCGATATAGTTCCGCACGTCTTGAATGAGTGATAACGTAACATTTTTCATCACATGCTTAGTTGTGACGAAGTTAAAAGGAATTAGTTATTAAAAAAGTTATACTTTATTTGTACTATACATATAGTACATAAGAAAAGATCTAATAAAAAGAACAATAATTTCTTTTTGAGCCTTAAAATTTTTTGCTTGACTACATATGAATGAAAAAAAAATTATTTCATAATGATGCCGACATTAGTTGAAAGGGTGCTCGTGACAAAAACTCAAAACCGAGAAAACAGTGTTTAAATACATTTATATTAACTTACTTGTTTGGTTATATTGAGCTTTCAGTTTTAAAATCTAACATAAAAGGTATTAAAAACACATAAAATCAACTTCTGGTAGCCATAAACAAAGGAAATCACGATTGACAAAAATGATAAATTATTGACATTCATTACATAAAGGACGAGAACATTGTAGGCACACTGGCTTGCTGCAGCCAACACAAACATAGGAGGTCATCCGATGTTTCTTTGAAGGACAAAGTCTGCATACTCTTCTACTTCCTGGAATGACTGCTGGTACCTGGACATCCACTGTAACCATATCTTTGCCTAAAACTCGAGTTATTGTCGACCTGAGCTCTCTTGGTAAATTTATGCTAGTAACACGTCGTTGCATATGCGGGACCACAAGCGAACGAGCTAATTTTTTGAGGAAATCTCCTCTGTCGACATCCTTTGACTGATGCATGTTATGTAGTATATACGCATTCATACCACTCAAGTCAAGAACTCGATAAAATAACACCATAGGCCATCTCTTTGTGCGGCGGCTACTCGAGTAAATGGAACATTTTTTGTCCGCCTCGTCAACGCCGCCTTTCGTAGAATTATAATACATTATAATTTCGGGTTTATTAGTATCTCCATCAATCTCATCATTATGATGCATAGAAGATATAAGTATCACAGCTCTGTTCTTTTTCGGAACATAGGAACATAAGGTTTTGTCTTTGGTAAAACCAAATAAGGCTGATTGAACTGCTCGACGTTTGTCTGGTTGAAATTCAGTCGGTAACTCTCTTTTATTTTTTTTCACTGTCCCGACATATGTCAGCTTCCGCTTCGATAGTTCATCTACGAGCTGGATTGACGAGAACCAGTTATCAGCAGTCATGTTACGGTTGCTTCCTTGGATGGGTTTCGTCAGGCGCAGAACGCACTGAGTTGGTACTAAGAATTTTTGTTCTTGTGCTGTCAATCCTACACCATCAGAGTTTTTCCCAGAGTATACATAGCCATTGTAAAAATAAGAGTTGCTAGCATCGCACAACCCTCGTATCACCAATCCATATTTGCCTGGTTTTTTAGGCATGTATGAAATCATGTGACTTCGTCCTCGAAACTTCACTAGCATCTCGTCGACTGTGACACTTTCACCGCATTCATACAATTTTTGAGAATTTCTAAGAAATTTGTTGAAAATTTCGGATATAGCAGCCAGATTATCAGTCTTTTTCCTCTCAACGCGGTCATTTGGATTGTCGAACCGAAGACATAACAATAATACAAGAAATCTTGTTTCTGACATACAGCATCTAAATATTTCACAGCCTGTACCATCCAAAGCAAGTAAGTAACTCGTGTCTTCGTGGTTTGATTTTAACACCGCTGAATAAAACAATAGACCTAAAAAAGCTTTCATTTCAGTAATGTCCAACGCTTTTAGTTCAGGTCTATCATGACGTGCAAACTTGGTTCTATAATCAGATATTTTCGCATTCGTCCATGTCAAAATGTGTTGGAGCATTTCATCGTCGAAGAGCTTATTCCAGATGGAGAAGGGATCTTTCTCATCGTCAGCCATCAACTTCGAAGAAGCAGGACGTGATATAATATTATGTTGAGGTGTACGAACCCTGGCAGAAGGAGGCTGCTTTGCCCATTTATACCGGTTTTTACCGTAATAGGAGGTAGATCGTAGTTCCGACAGAGGTATAGTCTCTGAACTCTCACTATCGAATTCTTCTTCAAGGTCCTCGTACTTGTTTGCATCTTCTTCCTCGTCACTTTCATGTTGGCGTATTAACTCCGATTCGGATATTACGATCTGTTCAGTATCCTGCTCACAATCCGACTCATCTGAAGCAAGCCACAACGCATTTAATTCTTCCTCGAAAGACGGATCAGTAACTCGTAATATTTTCTTGGCCGGCCTCTGAAGAGAATTATGAGGTTGCCGCTTCCAATGAGAACAGCCTGCCCGACTACTTTCCGCCATATTTTACACTTAAATCGAAAACAACCACGAAAACTTTGTAAATATTTCTATATGACAATTATGGACGTGTAGTCTCACAGGCTCCAGCCAATATTTAAATAGGTATAATTCACGTATTATGCACTGAGCGACGCAACCTCCTTCCTCGCTGGCCGTTATCGTACTAAAACTGAAGCTACTGAGCGGCTTAGTCGCGGAGAGCGGGGGACGTGAGTGAAACAACGAAACCAACATTCTCGCGGAGCCTGTGAGACTACATGTCCATACTTAAAGGTTAAAACTAAATGACGTAGAAAATTGTGTGCAATTACGCCTTTTTACATGCTTTTTACCAAATTGTTTTGTAAATGCGTCCATTTAACTTAGTTTGACCATAAAAGTGTGGGTAATTACGCCTTTTTCTCCTAGGAAAAAAAAAAAATAGTGACACATTCGTCTTTTTTTGTTGATCACGACAGTATATACACATGTTTTGAAAAACGTCACACACTCCCTTTCAACTAACGACGGCAGAACGTACGCTTGTTATATACATATTATACATAACGTGCAGCAAAAGTAGGCGGCAATTTTATCATAAATATATTTTATATACTCAAGGCGGTAAGGGCTTTTTATTTTTAATTTCTGGGGTGTGTTGACGTTATCCCTTGCAAAACACACGTTTAGGCACGATATTAACTAATGGGATCCAACTCTAAATACCTACTTTTTTATTTATTTACAGCTTCGCACAAAACCAACTAAAGTAAGCTACATGGGTGATCCAGACCTCATGCCGATAACATCGTACGAGAGCACGATACTAGTCAGAATATTCTATCAAATAGCATCCAAGTTAAACGAAATTGTACGTATTGAATGTAACTTCATGGCTTGATTCTCGAGGGATTCTTGCACTAAATTATTGGAGCTTCAGGTTTTTTAACTTGAATATATAATTAAATTATATTTTATTCCAGTACCGTGAAGAATTTACAAATTTATGGAACAGAGAAGACTACCCAGGTTACGTGACGCGTGAAATACTTGAAAGGCCTTGCACGATACGCACCTATGTGAAGGACATGGCCAACCGCCAAAACATTGTTACTCAAGAACTACCTCCAAGACTGTCGCTAAGAAAACTCGGCTCCCACGCTTTCGTCATATGGGTCAGCCTTGGCTATTTCTTTTTCAAAGTATTTGGTTTCAGCGGTTTTTTTTACACCTTCATTCTCGTTGTGTCTTGGTTGATCATCGTTTTAACAAAGTCTTTATTGAAATATTTAAATATTATGAAAGCTTGATTGTAATCTTTTATTTATTTTATATTATTTAGTAATATTAACGATTATAAGGATTTGTTTTTGGCTATTTATTGTTTTAATTCCTACTCTAGATTGAAGTATCATATTCAACATATTGTGTCAACTTGTTAAAACTCGCATATTACTCAAAAAAATATAATAGAAAAAAAACACCTAATTAACAGTACTTTTTCAAGGTAAGCTTAGGGACTATATTCATAGAGGCTAATTCTTGGAAGAGCAATTTGCAGGCGTAAGGCATGTCCACGGTAGAGACCGCGGCGGAAGACCGGCAGGCATGACACCAAGCGCGAGAAGCAAGTCGACCGCAGGAACCACAGATATCTGCGCTGAATGCGTCTGATGCCAGCATTAGACGTTCCATTAACAGCATGCTGCAAAAAATGTGTCAATAAGGCTCAATTTATATTATGGCGGAACGGAATGGAAGCGAATTTTTGTAACGATATTGTACATAGTATAATGAACTTTAAAGTCAATGGTGTAACGTAAAAACTAGATACGACCTAAAATCTTCCGCGGAATGCACGAGCATTCTTGAGCACTTATTATCTAATTTTTTTGTTAATTGTTAAAATATAAATTTGTTGGTTCTGCCTAGAGATGTAAATTGGTCAAATAAGACGTAATATTTTCACATTAAATAATTGTGATTACTAGAACATATTTACATAACGAAATACCCATCAAAATAAAGTTTAAAACTTATGCATACACGAATAAATAATTAAAGATTTTAATACAATTGAAAATGACGTTGTATTTATTATACCTAGCATTTTATCTATCTACTTTCTGTTCCCTAGCTGGGAAATATACGTCTTTAATCTAAACAGAGTGTGGTTTACTAGAAAAATTAATGTGACGAGCGTGACTATCAATAGTCGTTATAACATTTGTCGTGACGTGTCAGAATGGTATCAGTGTCATACACACAACACAAGCCGTCACGTCTGATTGCGACGCACTAACATAAATCTAACCATATTAAATGTATGAAACCGATACCGTTCTGACGCGTCACGACACGTCAGACAAATGTATCTCCGGCTTTATTGACCAAATTTGACAGAACACATTGACCAATTTTTGTTCGGACATATGTAACTTGACTGTCACATTACATCTCTAGTTCTGCCACTTTAAAGCAGTGGTCATTGTTAGCTTGTCAGAATTATTGTGATCTCTATATGAACATCATGTAAGCGTCTTGTTTGGATAAATACTTACCTAGCTCCATATCCAATAAGACAGTCTCGTTCCATCTCGCCCAATCGCAAACCGCCGTCACGTGAACGCCCCTCAGTCGGCTGACGGGTTAATACCGCGCGTGGACCACGGGCGCGCGCGTGCATCTTGTCTTGTACCATATGTTTGAGTTTTTGATAGTACACCTGGAAAAATATAATATTCCTTACGTACACAAGGTAAATACGAACAAAGCAAACTACTCCGGTTTTGTTCTCGGCCGGCACTGAAACGTACACAATTTCTTTCTAACGTTCGTCAAAAAAACTGTCAGCTCAATTCATGATATTGTTGGAAAACCTTTTTACTGACACAGCCATGAAGGTTGTATGTGATTGTTTTGAATTTGGTTGTTTATATGTAATACCTTGTTTTCCGCATAACGACAACTTGTGTTGTTTTTATTTTTGTCGAATTTTGGGGGATAGAAGATGTCTTTACAATTAAGGCTAAGATTTCACTAGTTCCGTCCCAGCTTATACTCCAACTTGCGACCATTGGTGTAGTAAATGATCAAGTTATTATAGACGTAAATAATAATAATAAACTAATTCTTACCGGTCCAGAGTAAATATAAGCTTCCAAAGGCTCTCCAGTCAATCCAGAGTAGAAGATATCTTTTCCGTGATAATTGTATCCATGTTTTTCTAACTCTTTGCAGACGTCTTTTACCTTTGAGCCTCCGAATGCAGTACCTGTGATAAAATTTAAATCGAGTTCAATCAATAGCAATATTATGTAGATAAGTTTAAGACTATTTGATGGATCAAATTATTGTTGACTTTTTTCAATCGATATTTCAGAAATGTATATGTACACTTAACTACACTCTTAAACATACCATGATTTACAACATCTTTACAAGAACATACCATAATGAAATTTCCCTTCCAGCAATCCAGCTTTTCCCGCCAGCAATTCAATGGTTTTACCCACAGTCATTCTAGACGGAAAACCATGAGGATTCATAATCATATCGGGACAAATTCCTTTATCATTGAAAGGCATATCTTCTTGTTGCACTATAAGACCAGTAACACCTTTCTGTCCGTGACGGGAACTAAATTTATCACCAATTTCAGGTACTCTCGTCTGCCGTAGCAAAATTTTTATAAGAAACGCGTCTTCAGCATTTGATGTGACCAAAACTCTCTCAATGTAAGATTCTACAGAGCCTTTGTACGTGATAGGCACATCGCGGTATTCAATTTGTTGCGGTTGACCTTGTGTCACGGGGTGTATGGATTGGACAGGCGTTTGTTTATTAATTAGTACTTGTCGGTTCTCAGCCATCTCTCCAGGTGCTGCTATTCCATCAGAATCAAGAACGTCGTGAGATTTGACGACTTTCCCTGTTGTAGCATCTTTTGAAGGACCCAGTATTCTGTCGGAACTTTGGTTGCTGTATCTCTTCATTGTAGTTTTAGTGCTTTTGTACACAAGACATCGGCCATATCCTCTATCAATAGACGCCCTGTTTAGAATTAGAGCATCTTCAATATCATACCCACTGTAGCTCATGACAGCGACAGTTGCATTTTGACCAGCTGGCAATTTATCAAAATTTGTCAATTCTATTGTCTTTGTTTTCACCATTGGACTTTGTGGGTATACTAAATTGTACATCAGAGTGTCTATTCTGTTCTTTTGATTGTAACCAATTGTTCCTGAAACACCAAAGATCCGGTTACTAGAAATTGTCTTTATCTTCAGTTAAAATTGCAAATATATTTCACAGTTGGCAAAAAACAAAAATACGGTTGACCCATACTTGTTGCCCCATCGGTACAATCGGTCTTCTTTCCCGGTCGGTCCACTTTCACTATTCGTCTACTTTCCCGATCGGTCCACTTGTCCAAATGGTCCAATTTCTCGATTCGTCTATTTCGCATTTTGTCTACTTTCCTGATTGATCCACTTGTCCAAATATCCACCTTGCAAGTTAATAAAATTTTATGCAAGTTAATAAAATTTTCCAAAAAAAATCTTACAAATTTTCAAAGGCAGTTTGTAATTGCATAATTACAGATTGTCATGGTGTACATTTTTTATATTTTTGATAATGATAGCTGTTTTACGTTAACCATGATGTGAAAAAAACAAAATCAAATACAGAGTTTCTTTTTAACCGACTTCAAAAAAAGGAGGAAGTTCACAATTCGACTGTATTTTTTATGTATCGCGTAGGATAACTCAACGGTATTTGGGAACCGATTTTGACGATTCTTTTTTCGTTGGAAATAGGGTATCTCAGTAGTGGTGCACTTAAATTTGAAATGGCAAACTAGGGCGTGAATCCGGATGCGCGCACTTTCCGGTTGTAGATTTCAATAAAACTTGGTAAATAGATACGTTCGTTCGTTCCACGAACTTTTGAGGTCGGTTTTTTTAGTACTCTGTACTGAGATTATCTGAGTAGACGCATCATTAAAGTAGACCTATCTGGAAAGTAGACCAATTGTACCGAAGGGCTTGTTGCCAGTCGTTTGAAGATCATTTCAAATTATTGTTATGCGCGTGTTTATTATATATTATGAACAATTTTTACGCAATAACAATGGTATGTCATTATGGTGAGCATTTGAAGAAAAAGAGGTAACACTTACCCATGGCTTGTTTACCCATAGCGCACTGATAAGTGTTTCTGGGACTCTGATTATGATGAGGGTACGGAACCAACCCAGCACAAACGCCCAAAATAGTAAACGGCTCAACCTCCAAATGCGTAGTCACGTAGGGTTCAATATCAGACTCACGAGTTGCAATATAACTGTCATTCTCTTCATTCACGTCTAAATATTCTATTAGACCATCGTTTAAAAAATCTTGGAATTTTCTAATCCCCCTGTTCAGCTCGTTTAGATGAGTTTGCTGTATTAAAGGTCTTCCCTTTTCGACTATAATGTATGGACGGCAAAGGCGTCCCCCGTCACTGCTTATGTACACCGTTCTTTGGTTGTGATTGGGATAAATTGACACGAAAGCTGAGATGAGACCGCGGCGCCTGAACATTCGGAACACGTTGATCAGCTTCTTGTACTGATGTGTCACTCCTAATATATTACCTAAAAGATAAAACACATTGTCGAGATATAAAAACTTTGATGTCCATCTTAAAAAAAGCGAGAGTTCATTTATTTTATGTCACAACCTAAAATACTCGAAAAGCTCTGTTAATGTAAAATCTTCGATCTATGTTAAGATACACCTTAAAAAAACTATGTTTACGCTCACCATTAAGAAATACCATATAAACACGAGGGTGATTGATATCCTCTCCACCCAGAATCCTAACATCCTCCACGCCAGCATTGCACGCGAGCTTAATTATTGGTTCCTCTGAACACTCCGTAGTTATATGCGTCATCAGAGCCAAATTCTTTACTAAACCACATCCTTCACCTTCGGGAGTGTCTGAAGGGCACAACATGCCCCATTGGGAAGGCTGCAAGGAACGTGGGCCGGAAACTTTCCGCGTCTTCTCAAACTGAGAGTTCACCCTGGTCATCATACCTAATGCTGATATGTAACTCAAACGACTGAGTACTTGAGTGACGCCGTGCCGCTCCATTTTGAAACGTTTTATGGTCCAATTTCCCTAAAATAACATTCCAAATTTATTTTTAATACACCTCATTATTCTCAGTGTCTTACTTGTAGACTATTTTATTAGACTGACATTAAATCAAACGATAAAATGAAGATCATCCTTCTCCAATTTTTTCCCTGTTGAGATTTGCGACTCCTTTGGAGCTTTCTGGGATCTTTAAGAAAAATATTGAGTATAAAAATCTGCTTACAGTAGAAATAGCAGCAAACAACCCATTGGCAATCAGATCTGGTCGCATATGCTTTACAATATCAAACGGTGCAGCCTTCACTTTAGGTATTACTTTATCAGCTATGCTCTTTAGTTCCCAGTTGAATCTTTTGAATAAATCTTCGAACATTAGTGATAGTAGAGAACCAGCCAACTCCAATCTCTTGTTACCATAATAATCTGGATCATCTATCGCCGCATTATTAGATTCAGCTTCAATAACTCTTTTAACCATTATGGCTAGATAGATAGCTTTCACGTAGAAGTTGTAATTCTCTACAGTAACGTGAGCAAGGATTGTTGAAGCTAAAAGCTCACGTGCTTCGTCAATTGGTGTGCGTGCTTTAGAATTTGCAGCTTGGAACCTTAAATGTATATTAAAAAAAAAAGTCATTGTACCTAAATGAAAAATTTTGTAAGCTTTTAAATATACATTAAACCATGGACCAATAACCCAAGAGGACTGCTAATCTCCATATTAAAAATCGTAGCTCTGAAAAAGGTCAAAATTCCGTCTTATTTCTAGATGGCGCTGATCGATAGCCTGGAATTAGTTTATATTTACGTAAATGGCCATGGATATCGATTAACTCCTCTTTTATAGGAAATATAGTAGATATTCTATTTTTCTTGTAATGTTTTTCAAATATTTAGTAATAAACTAAAATTATTCTCTGAACTTCGATATTTATGCGTATCAATAGATGGCATTGTTCGTTGTTAACTAATTAATAACGTAACGCTTGCGAATATAGTTAGATGGCGCAAATCCTAAACAAAATAAAAGAATACTTGGAAGTATCTATAAAAGTCTGAGCAATATAGTATAACCTAAAGGAAGTCTAAATTGTCATCCGTTTGCGGTGGCGCACAGTGGGCCCAAATTGATAATTCTTGGACATAGGAATAACTTGTGGAGTATCGAGCTAATTTTTTATGTGATAGACAATAACACTCCTAACAACTTTTATTCTTGTATGATTTCTTGAAAAGTTGATAGTTTCAGAGAAAAAAAATATTATTTTTTTTTGTGGAGAAATATACATTTTGTTCTTTATCTCAAAATATACGAAAATGTAGTGTGCGTGGGTTACTTACAGTATAGTTCCAATCATTTTCTATGTAGAAAAGAATAATCCGTCTGCATGTACTTGCGGCTTTGTAAGTAGAGGTGCGGCAAAATTGCTAACTCTTTTATGTACTTTTTTAACAAAATACATGAGCTTCGACTAAAGAAAATTTAATTTTAGTGCTAAATTACACAGAGCGTTATAACAATAACACGAAAGTTAAGTAGAAACTGGTATATTGTGTTTTATTTTTTAATAAATAACAAATCTAACATTTTGACATCTTTTTACTCGTAAAGCCGCAAGTACCTGCTGATGGATTGTTTTTTTCTTGATAGAGAATGATTGGACTTATACTGTAAATAAACCACATATTACATTTTTCTACAATTCGAGATAAAAAAATACAATGTTTATTTCTCCAAACAAAAAAAAAAACTAAAATTTTTTTCTGAAACAATCAGCTTTCCAAGAAATTACATAACAATAAAAGTTATCAGGAATGTTATTATGTATCATGTGAAAAAAATCAGCTCTGTATTCCTAAAATTGTATCATGATTAAATAATTATTTAGCCTAAAATTTATACTTTTTATTTCCGTTATTTTTAATTACCTTCAGATTAACTTATACTGGGTTGTTGGACTTTATGCACTGTTTGTAATGGATGACATATTACACACAGATTACACGAAGGTCATGTATTTTGTTAAAAAAGTACATAAAAGAGTTAGCAATTTTGCCGCACCTTT